TCCCGGTGTCTGCGTGACTTGTTACGCAGACGACACCCTGGTCACGGCTTACGGTTCCTCCTACCGAGAGGCGTCAATCGTCGCAACAGCGGGTGTGGCTCTAGTCGTACGACGGATTCGTGCTCTGGGATTGGAGGTGGCTCTCGACAAGTGCGAGGCCATCTCCTTCCACGGTCCGCGGAGGGGACCGCCGAGGGGAGCGAGTATTGTGGTCGGAGGAACGGTTATCGCTGTTCAGCCCTGGTTGAAGTACCTAGGGCTGGTCCTCGACAGTCGATGGACGTTCGGCGAGCATTTCCGGCGACTGGAACCCAAATTAGTCGCGGCGGCTGGCGCGTTGGGGCGCCTGCTTCCGAACGTCGGTGGTCCCAGTGTGGCATGTCGTAGACTCTACACTGGGGTCGTTAGATCAATGGCACTGTACGGTGCGCCTGTATGGGCCCGGTCTCTCGGCCCACGAACGATAGCCTACCTCCGCCGTCCGCAGCGTATCTTGGCGCGACGGGTGGCACGGGCGTACCGCACAGTATCTTTTGAGGGGGCCTGCGTGCTGGCCAGCACGCCACCGTGGTACCTGGAGGCCGATGCGTTGTCGGCTGTCTATCACCGGCGCGCGGAGGCTCGCAGCCGTGACGGAGGAGTTGCGTCCGGGACGGTCGCCGAATGGAGAAGGGATGCGGCGGCCAACGTCCTGCGTAGATGGGGTGAGCGACTGGCTTCTCCGACGGTCAGTTATGAACTGGCCACCGCTGTCAGGCCTGTTCTTTGCGAGTGGGTGGGTCGCACGTTTGGCCCACTGACCTACCGCCTGTCACAGCTGCTGTCGGGACACGGATGTTTCGGCAGGTATCTGTGGCGGGTGGTGGGCAGGGAAGAAAGCCCCGCCTGCCATCACTGCGGGGGTGGCGTGGAGGACTCGGCGCAGCATACTCGCGAGTCATGCCCAGCGTGGGACAGTTTTCGCGCTGCTTTGACTACGGTCATAGGGAGGGACCTCTCGTTGCCGGCTATAATCTCGGCTATGGTCGGCAGCGAGAAGGCATGGGAGGCGGTGGCCGCTTTCGCCGAAGCGGTCATCAGCGCGAAGGAGGCAGCGGAGCGGGCCAGGGAGAGCAACCTGGAGGCCCCTGCCCTCCGTCGTCGGCGAATTGGTCGCCGGCGCCGAGCCTATCTGGCCTCTTTACAGCCATAGGTTAAACGCCGGGCGACGTGATCCTGGGTGGCAGACGGGGACTTCTGTCGCCCGCTGGCAGGATCAGTGCGGTGCTAGCCCCTCTTGTTCCGGGGGTGGCTCGCGGTGGTGGTTTGTGGGGAGATTTGTCCCCCTTAGTTCGAGGTCCGGAGTGGACAAGCGCCGGCAGGGTCGCGAGGCAAGCTTTTGGTATACCGTGGCCCTGCCTAGGTGGCGTGGATGAGGAACACCCAGGGGTTTTAGTGGGTCGAAACCCCACATAACCCGGTCAAGTCCCCGCTCGGCCGGGTATCTGTGAACAGATTTCCCCTGGGAAAACAAAAAAAAAAAAAAAAAAAAAGACACTGCCACACACATAACATCATTAATAACTAATAAATTTAATAATAGTTATTCAATGAAGCTGTATGTATACATGATTATTTTAATATATAAATTAACAAAAACATGTATGTAGGTTATAGACGTGTTGTAATGTATAACGGATAATTATATATCTGTATTCTGTATATAGGGCTCGGTTGAGCGTTGTTACAGGACGTTATGTTATGAATGCCATGCCGTCCGCAACCGAGCGCAGACTGTCCGACTTATTTTATTAATATTCCTGCGGTTAGAGCTTCGCAACCGCCGTGCCACGAACACGATTGTATAATACTCTTAAAGATGTTCTCGTTATGAGATGATTTATATACAACGGTTTGCTTTAATTATTATTAGTTCTATGACATTTCGTTTAATTATTTCCGTATGATGTCTACAAGTCAAAGGAAGTTTTGATATACATAATATAAAAGTACTTAGACTAAATTTCTTAAATTTTATTTATTTCTAATCCAAATCGTCTCTAAAAGATCGTCGGTAACAAAAATCACGAACGTCTCGGAACGTGATTGCGGTTTTATTTAGCTTCTACGTCTAATGTTTTTTACCATTAAATTTTATTTTTCTCTGGTCCCCGTTGTAAGATAACTATTCAGATGTTATCGCCACCAATAAAATATAATGAAAGTCGTGCCGATGACTGCTAGGAGAGAAAATTGACAGGCGAAATTTATTAGAAAATTAATATTATTTGTTATAAAATAGGAATGAAAAATTTTATTATCATTCCGGGTACGTAATCTGTTAAATGTGACCATTTAAATTTCGTATACGATGCTAGTAAATACATTTAGTTCGACGTGCTCTGGCCTATCTGCAAAGGCAATGTAACGGGACCGTATTTGCCGACAAGAGTTCAAATCCCAGCTTCAATTTCCGTACTGTTGCTATTATATTCTAAGGTTTTATCTCTCGAATACATATTAAATGTTTGATTTCTAAGTTATAAATTCACACGAAACCCACTATGACCGATTTATATTATAAAAATATTCAGTCAAGGCAACCAATTTATTTGACCAGTTAATTGATCTCTAGATTGTGTAATATAATACTTGATTGTGTGATTGTATTCTTGGCGATGAATTTTGCTTGTATTAATTGAAAATTTATATTTGAAATTTATTTGTCCCTATAAAACATGCATAGGTTTTTATAGGTGTTAGTTTTTTTAGATGTTTATTTAGAGTATGCAGATGTATTCATTTTGTTGTGTGTTTTGTATATTATTATTATTATTATAGATGTTCTTCTGTCAAATGCAATCATACATTACGTCTGTAAATCGAAACTTTCTGAAGATTCCGTTATGGGGAAACATTTGCACACAACATAGTCGTTATTCCGCCATTACCTTCATCTCGTTACGAGTCAACATTTTGCAAAACTGTTGTTTTCATAATCCAACAAATTTAAATCGTACTCACGATGATCACACACGATATAAGAATTTTATTAGCGTTAAGGCCTGCTGTTGAAAGTGAAAGGCACAAAAAAAAACTTATCAGACTGATATCGTAAATAATGTTTAATTTATTCATATCACCAAAGTAACCAGTTCTCATGTGTAAAATTTTCATGTGATCATGCATTATTCAGTGTTATAAGTAATAAAGGAGTTTAATTGTACTGTTTTTTTTCTTCTAGTGTTCTAATTTTATAATAACGCTATTTGTAATATTGTTCTTTACTGATTTCCTAAATTTTGTTTCGTCTTAAACATTCGATATTTTTTTGAAATCTCTTTCTTTTGTCTATAAACACTGGAACCAATGGATTATTTTGTTTAGCAGTTACATAAAGCACCTGTTGATTGTCTGTGGTAGCTCATCATCGTCTTGCGTAAGGATTTAGACTTAAGAATGAATTTATCCTGTCACTTTCTGTTGTTTATTATGTGTTGTAAGAACTTAATGATTTTAATACATCTAATATTGATAAGACATTGCGTAGCGTTCGCTTAATGTTTCCATTATCTACAGGAAAAGCAGTTGGATCTCACCATCAATATTTTTACCAAACGTTTTAGTTATGTCGTGGGAGTTATATCTGAATGATTTTTACTATGAGTTGTTGTGCTCATTGCCAATTATTATTAATAAATCGACGTAGAGAGAATTCGATACTATAATGAATGGGACATTGTGTTTTAATTGGTGTTCGGGTGAGGTTTCGAAAGACCTTCACACACGTTTTGTCTTCCTGTTATTGATAGCTGACGTCTGCTATTGTTAGCTTTTCTTGAGAGATGAACTCTCAAACAATCTGATACTATAAATTGACACGCTAGACTTGGTGAAAAGATTTTCCACTTAGCAGTACAAGGTTTGAAATTATATATTACCTTAATTTTGTATTATCATCGCAAAGTCAGTGCAAATGTTTTGTTTACAAAACATGTACTAACACTTATACATCCAGTCCAATGTCTAGGTTGAATAATAGTTAGATGGAAAGGTATAACAGTTGGGTGTGATAAGGAGGCTAGTGACACGATCCCGTTAGTCTAGGTATCGCTATCGGGCTAGTTTATTGGAAAGTGAGTTGCATAGAGCGTGGCCGGTGGCCGAGTCTGTGTGGGATTCCAGTTATCGGAAGAAAAAGTCAACCGACATTAATTAATAGCAGTCATCGATTTATAAATTATATATTCCTCCTTTTAACATTAATTACACCTATACTTACGCGATAATTATGCGTTTTTATGCTTAATTAAATTATCCCGCCCTTGATTCTATAATTGCTTTCGTGACTGGATATTCTTTATTTGTCTTGTTAGTTTGTAAATCAGACTACCGTTTTAAAATAATTCTCTAAAATAGCGGTGCAATACATTAAATAGAATGTATACGTGACATTCAAGCTAAGATTGTCCCAAAAATACCAACACCGATTTTTTATTTAAATCAGTAATGTTATCTAGGGTACCCTTTCATTAATTGATTTGCCTTTCTGATCTTTATTTCGACATATATTTGTTATTTAGTTGTGACCTTGGATGTTGACCTTTCCTTGCTGACGAAATTGTAAAAAGAAAATTAGTATTCTTAATTTTAATTGATATCAAATTCGTATTCTATCAATTTAATAGCGTGTTTGAAGCAGTTACAGTTTACCTTGCGTGTAGCCCTGGCGCTCTGTTAATGGTCTTCTGACACAGATTTTTAACACTCATTGAACATTACGATTTTTATATTCTGTCTTTAAAATTAGCGCAAAATATTTTTTAATCATGTTGCAAAAAACAAAATTGTTACAAAATTTTTATAAAAACCATATCTCGCTCTCAAATATCACGTAGATGTGTAATAATGGTGGCAAACATTGCAAATATACGTTGTGTAACGAAACGGTTATACTAATATCTATAATAATAACGTTCATGTTGCAATAAATATATGAGTTTAAGAGTTACGTGTCTTAGATAATATTGGTGATGTTATATTAGCGTACGGTGCGTTAGTCGGGACAGGTGTGCGCCGTCGCAGGCGGAGCCGTGGAGATGCATGGAGCAAGTACTTTCACTCTCGCTGGTCCGACAGCAAGTCCCAGGGCAGCAGGGCCAGTGCCGCCGCGCCGCTGTTGGGGTTCGCACCGCTCGTTACTGAGACATCCCGCCATAAGCACGCTCCGCTAACCATCACCTCGTTTGTTCGTTGCTCTGCTGAATAACGAGATCTGGTTGTGAAAAAAATAATTTTTTTAGTTATTTTTAGATTATCGTGTTTAACAAACAGTGTGTTACACATCTTATTAAATGGACGCTCGCCGGATTATCTCGGATCTGTTGTAAAATATTCTAATAGAATTTGTTTTACGGTCCCCGTTCGCTGTTTACAAATGTCAAAACGTTTTAAGTGATAGTGTGTGTTTATTAAAATGTTTGGTGACCAAAATTTTTGCATTTTACATCATAGAGAAAGTATTGAGTACAGGAAACCTCTTTTAGTGGCTTTGTAAATAGTTACGGAGAAGAAATCGTTTGGTATTTACCGTCCGTTGTAATATTCGTGAACCGAATATATAATTTATTAATGGACTTGAAAATGTTTGGAAATATATTTTATACAATATGTAGAGAATGAAAATTTTTGCTATGTTATTTTTGGTTCATATTACATTGTCAAGGTCGTCATAAATATTAAACAGATGTCGTTACAGCATCCAGGGATGTGCACATAAAGCTCGCTACGACGATCACTGTAAATAAATAATGACCTAATTGTACCTTACGTCTTCGCTATTTTGGTAACTAATGATATGAGATTTGATGTTTTTAATGTCAACCAGTGTCCTACAAGAGCTCGTATCGATAGCACAGGATTTCATCAATATTCACAAGAGAAACTTGTCGCGAGTGTTGTTTACTTTCGAAGATTTCTATAGGGCACTCCCTTTCTCCGCATATCTAATAATTGTAAAATCTTGCAATCAACATTTCTCTCTGTGTAATGGACATGTGTGAAAAGTGGAAATATATGTAGAAATGCTTAGAATAGCTAAAGAGCTAATCTTGTGATACCATTATGTACTGTTCCAACATGCCTTACTATGACGAGAGTTTTATTCATGATGACAATCAGAATCAAAGAAGGAATAAACGAAGTTATCATGTTTATAAAACCAACAGCCCTCTCGCTTTCCTGGAACCGAATGATGTCATACACACAATCGATGATAGGGGGACATCTGTGATTAAAAGGAATATAAGGAACATTAAATATCGTGGTAATAAGTACAGACCCGATACTACAACATCACATTATGTTCCTATTTTAAGAAGTAGAACTCCAGACAGATTCACTGCGAATTATCCTCGGATAAGTGCATTCGATCCCAAGAAGTTATATGACATACGCAATAATAACGTACCCCAATTAATACCGTGCAAGAGTTTCGATAACTTAACTCTGAGGTATGGAAAAAAGGTTGTGGTGAAGGATAAAATCAGAAACGGTAAAAGCCTTCAAGACCTAGTGCGTGTAGAAAGCATAAAACATTACGTCTCACCGGCTGAAGATTATTTCGTGTCACGAAAAGCCGATTTAAAAAATTCGTATTCCGTGATAGAGGCACGACTGAAACCTGTGCATCGGCGCGTCTCGAGGAGCGCAGCCCCCGGTGTCGGAGTTTATAGGAAGATTAGCGGAGATAACAATGGACCTATATGTGTTAAAGGTATGACTGATAGCTTCAAATATCTCTAGCTAATTAAACCACTCATCTGTCAGACGTAAAATAAAACGATCATGTGTGTTCACAACTACATTAGAGCAAATAATTTATATCTAGATTTTCGTATCTCCTCTAGCCATTAATTTATTTTTAACCATGGTCAAGAAATTCAATTACGTTAAATGTTTTTTACAGCTAACCTAATATTTATTAAAGGTCAAATCAAACGGATCGTTAATAACAGTCAGTTTTCTTTCGAACGTTAATATTTATGAGTTATAAATGAACGGGACATTATAAATTGCGCATTTCCTTACTCAAGCGGAATAGAAAATAATAGTGATAGGTATATGATTGTAAATATATGTATACCCTGCATAAAAAAAAACCGTAAGCGAAGACCATTAATTAGACCAGAACTATTTTATAAATGCTATTTACGTGAAGTCCGATAAGGTGAACCACCAAAAATTTATTTTAATTCTGTAATTGCAAGAAAAATTCAGTTTATACTAAGTATCTAATTTACCTACTTCTGTAAGTTACCAGATGTCCGTTCTGCCGCTAAGTATTTATTAATGATATGAATTAATCATGTTAACTAAAGGTCGAATACGAGAACGCATTCCGATCTTAATTTTATCTCATGTTCATTATTATATCATAGTTTGTTTAGAAATGTTGCTGATATAGTTATCTACATATCTCAATACAAAAATATAAAGTTTTAGTCTTATAATGTTTTATTATTTAACTAAATAAGGATTCCAAGAAAATGCTAACATTTATTTTGCATATCAGAACTGCATACGAAATATTGTTTAAGCCATATGTACATTACGTTTCATGTATCCAATAATATGTTAACACGGATTAAATTTGGTTTCGAAACTTTAACAAAATTATGACATAATATATGTCAATGATATAATTATATATAAACAAATAATAGAACCCGTCGGTTTGTTCGTGTAATCTTGTCTTTCTGATTCCGATGCGTATGACGCACTCACAGTGTTGCCCAGGAAGCGCGAATGACCCGTCGCGCGCCGTCCATCCGGCGCGGGACGGTGTCCTCAGTCCTCAGTCCTCGATCCTCGGTCCTCAGTTGTGTCTCAGTCAGAGTGAACTCACTATCGCTCCGCGCCCCACTGACGCCACTTATTTTTATTTATAAACCACACTGTCATCACTCACATTATTGTTACTTAGTCTCACGAAATCAGTGTTGTGGTTTTTTTTCATATGTGATAGAAGTTAGTTCCAAAGGTTACGCGTATTAGGTGAGCTGAATAATATTTTTGTTTTTGTACATATAAGGAAAATCTATTTGTGGTTACGGTGTACATGGTATTTTAAACGTATATCATGTTTTGCGTATTATGCAGTTAAGTGTAAACCCTACATAATGACGTACTTAGGGCTTGTTATGTCCTTATATATAATTGTGATTATTTTGTACTCGTTTTGCAAATGAAACCTCAGTCGGCAGAAGCGCCGTGTGTATGTGTTTAATACACATATAGTAAAAAGTGGGTAGATATATGAGTGTGTGTGTTGTGTATTAAAATTGTTTTAGTTCTAAAAGGCTTGTTTGTACATGGTTGTATTACGTCAACAATCCGCCAAGCCATTAACGGAGTGTTATTGTTTTATTGGTCTTGCTATTTAGACATCGGCCTTATGTAAGTTGGAATCTCCCGTCTCACTTAGATAACTTAGTATTTTTATTAAAAATTTTTTCATATTGTAAGTATATTTTAATATTTTCTGTATATAATAATAGTAAAAGTAACTTATAATAAACTTAATGTTTGTTCTATATTTATGAACTGACGTTACTGTTAAGGAAGTCTGGATGATAAAAGTGCGTAATGCGTTCTCGAGTTACCAATTTAGGTGTTACTTTAATGTTCGGGTCTTTGTCATCGTTTTTGCCCTTTTTTGATTTGCATTAGCATAAAAAAATGTGTTCCATGAAAGGGGAATGACCTTCCTCCTTTTGTCCTTTTAAACCGATACTCGATTTGAACTGTACATTTAACTTTAAACTGTTCTAAAAGCAGGACGCATATATAGAGGTAAATATAAAAGCATTTAATATTCCATATAATAAGGGTTTCATATATCCTAAATATTCATAGTTAAACAAATATATAGCTCTAAAATGATGTAATACAATCAAAGAATTTTAAATCCATTAACATACAAATGTTAAATTAATTGAAATAGTTACAAATACATTATTAAGTGAATAATTGTCTTGTAAGCAAAAACGATGAAACAAGATACTATCTAACAGTATCAGCAATAGAATAAACTTAGGTAAATAAAATATAATTGTTATTTAAAAATAATATTACCATTTAGGAGTCCGTTAATTCTATGTGTATTTTACATCAGTTTTTGCCTGCTACTTTGTTCGTGTGAACATCGATGTTGTGCTAAAAGGTAAAATATGTATAAAATGTGTTAAACAGTAGATATGTGAACCAACTCTCATCAAAATATTACATATATAGTGTGTCACGTGACTTCATACACAATACAACTGGTGTACGTTAATCCGCGATAAATTATAGCCTATGCCCTATGTGTTATTCTGATATGAAAGCTATGTTATTGTGAAGTCTCATCAAAATACATTCAGTAGTTTACGCGTGGAAGAGCAACACACGTATATTCACACAGTTAAAATATTAATACATATAATGTTTTCCTGGTAGCTGTTAAAGCTCTTTTGGGTCATTATTTACGTGTTATATTAAAAAAATATGATAGTCCAAAATAAGATTTACGATAAGAATTAATTTTGTTTCCAAGAATAACATCGTCAAGGATTCTAAGCTTGTTGTAAGCAAACAATCAAAACATATATTATCAGTCGTCCAATTAGATGTAAGGTCAGCCAGCGACCTATGAAGATACCGAACCCAAAACGGGGATGGCTGTCTACATTCCATATACGTGATATCAGCACGTTACCCATTCCTAAATGGGAATGATGGTGGACATCCCTACTAATATTATAAATGCGAAAACAACTCTGTCTGTCTGTCTGTTACGCTTTCACGCATAAATCACTGAACTGATTTTAATGAAATGTGGTGCAGAGATGGAGTTGACCTTGAGAAAGAACATAGGATAGTTTAAATCCCAGACTTTTGAAAGGTTCTCTTGGAAACGCGATATAACCGAACTTCACGCTGGCGAAGCTGCTGGTGGAAAGCTACATAGTTTCGTATATATCACATTGAAATTAGATGAGATGTGAATTGTATATAACTGTCTATATACAATCGTCTATCTTTAATGAGGGTTGTGAGTGGACATGTGTGATATGTTCATGAACGTTACAGAGAACGAGGTCTGCGGTGAAGCGGGGTCGGGGCACCGCGGTTCATTGCGCGGCGCCAACAAACTAGCACGACGGGCGCGCTCCTTCAAGGACGACCTACTGGAGCGAATCTCTAACATGAGGTCTCCAGCACAGCCTCCTCATCCGCCTCATCTCTCCAATATCAGGTCAGCTCTATACATCCGTCATACTTTTATATACATTTCTGTGTTTGCTTGTGAGTAATGTGGTTGGACGGTAATTATAACCTTGTGTGATTCACATTATAATGATTAGTAAATTCAGTTAACTCATAATCTAATAGGGGACGTTTATGAGCGTAATTTGACGACATTCTTCATTAATCATTAATCCCTGCCACCGCAAAACTCAGTTTAAATACTCAAATACATTGTAATAAATAATTGTTTCAGAACAAATGTTAATTTAACGTGTCATTATGATGCCATTATTTATTATTATAATGGCTTTCATAAATATTTGTCTGTCACCTGATTGTTATCACAGGTTTTGTACAAAGCAAAGAAATAAACACGTCTTATATTGGCCGTTATCAAAATTGATAATAACATTGCATACACATCATTCCGCTATCTTACTGGCAGCGATTCAAGAAAGTGTCGCTCGTTTTGACAATATTATCTTGGACAGTGGGTCGAAATCGTTAGTACTGTGTAACGAACTGTCTAAAAGTATTAAAACAATAAAACAGTGTAAATATAATAAAGTTTTGGTAGTACTGGTGATGCGTTAAACGTCGCAGTTATGAGTCACGTGCGACTAGACCCTCGCGCATTAATTACATTGTCCGCTGAAATCTCATTAGTCGAGTGCGTGCGATGTTAAGTGATTACATTTTAATGTCAGCTGCGGAACTGTGGCTATGTGAATTGTTTTATTTACCGCGTCTAAGTATCGTGTCTCGCATGTAATCGTCTCTGATAGTGTTGGTATTTACGAATATGTGATGTGAAAAGTTTGTTCAAGTGTTTCGTTAGGCCGTCATTGTATATAGCTGTCTATATGTCCAATACATTGAGATCTCCGGTCGGTTTCTGGAGTAAAAAACGTTCGAAGTTACAAAGACGTCTTGTTACAAATGGAAAACGGTAATTTTATAATTTTTATGTCGTGGGTCATAAAAGATTTTTTGAATGCCTTTTAAATAAGCGTATTTGTAATTGTTGCTTTTTATTCGTCTGTCGATCGAGTCTGTAACGGTATTGCTGTTCGATTGGTGTTTTTTTTGTTATATTATTATATTATTGTACACTATAATAATTGTCTAACTAAAAACCTGTATAATGAACTATCTTTTAAAAAAATCTATATTATATAGAAGCTTGAACAAATGGTTAGCGAAGTTAGAAAAAGTAGTTCAAGTTTGCAGGCTAATAATATTAGTATCAATAACATGATAAGTAATTTACGCCAGTGTTATGTCACATATTATATGTATATTAGACTACGAGCTGGGACTTTGAATATAAAATATAGCTTAGCTTTGTTATTAAAAGACCTGGTTTGCATATAAAGTGGATTCTATCGCAATAATAAAATATTCCATTCAATACAACGATTCGGTGACAGTTTTTATATAACGTTGCCTTATATATTTTTTTCTTTATTTCCCAATAGTTAATTGTTTAAGCGGTGTCGTGCTTAGTTACACAGTTGTGAAAGTGGCAGTTCATAATTCGATAAACGTCGGCTCGTTGCTCGATACTTTTATAATAATATTACAGTATCATTAGGAAGAGATAAAGTAGAATTATCAAAGCATTAAGTTATATATTTATAATGAAATGTATGTGATAAATCTCTCTTACTTCTAAGCGTATATTAAAATTGGCGTATGATGAAAAGTTTGTATTATTACGTAATTACAGCCTGGTATTATTTCACCAAACTATATTGTGTAACCAACATAATTTCTAATATTTTACCCGTGCTCTTAGTAACACGTAGTATGGTCTTTGTTAATAAATATAATTTAATTTGTGTATATTATTGTTGCAGATCGCATTCCCCGCTTAGTCCGAAGCCTCGTAATATGGGGGCGAAGGTTGCGGACGAGAGCGAGATTACGCCTGCCAAAGAACTCGAACGGCTAGTCAAAGAGGTTAATTAACTTTTATTTGCATTATTGTAAATAAGATTCTTCATTTCATATTCGCACCTATGATTTATTTGTTTAAAGTATTCATCATATGATGTGAGCAGAAAGGATGGTTATGTTTTTTAGTGTCGATGTTCATGTTTGTATGACTGAAAGCAAATTTAAAGTTAAATTGATAATAGTAAGAATGAATTCGGACTGAGTATAATTTGTTAGATGCACCTCTTTGGAGACTTTATCAAAGAGACAATAATTTGTTTTACTACCTTTAAATAAAACGAAATTGATATTGTATGCTATTTAAATGGCTACAATTCATGTTAGATAAGTATTTATAAATGCAATTAATAAAATGTTTTGCTGACTATAAAAACCTACTCCAATATTTATTTACTTACATTTTGTTCGAATACATTCGAATAACTGTACGTGAATAACAAACCACATCTTTATAATCTAGGATGTGGAACTTAACAAATGACAGTGATTTGATAGTGTTTAAAAATATAGAGGCCGGTTACACAGGAAGTGGAACGGAATGAGCGCCAGTGCGATGTCCGGCCGATGTTTTATATTATATGTTGTGTTACAGGTCACATTCGGCTTGAAACATTTCTCCGATGTCATCACAAAGAGGAAACTGGAAATGTTGCCGGACAACGGCACCATTGTGTTCGAGTCTATCGCGAATATACACAAAGGTACACATTATAATGTTATTATCAGCTCCATCTGTCGGTGATGTTGTCGACTTACACATGACTATTGTTTTATTAACTTACTTATATACCAACATATGTACGTCGGAAATTGAATATTACAATAACTTAAATTGTAATAATAATAGTAATCTTGTTCGAAACTATAATACAGTTACATTTTCGTGTTAAATGACTTGCGAGATTTGTTTATAACGTTAGGAAGTGGGTGCTAATAAAAGCGTGTCAATAGGTTACTGTACAGATGAATGCATGTAACAGTTAATAATTCACGAATCAAAACACAATAGTACGAAACTACAGATGACAATGTCTTCATTATAAATACTTATATTGTACTAGAAGACCCGGCGAACTTCGTACCGCCCTATAATCAAGAAATATCTGTTACGTTTTTTTATTTATATTTTTGGAGTTTACCTATAAAAGCCATAAATCTCCGTATTTTGAAGTGCGACAGAATGATTGACATATTAGTAAGTTGTCAAGTCCAGCGGACAAAATTGTGAATCTAAACCATTCCCAGATCCCCTTGAACACACACAAAAAACTTCATCAAAATCGGTCCAGTCGTTTGAGAGAAGTTCAGTGACTTTCACACTCACAGAAGAATTATATATATAAAGATATAAAATGTATTTTCAGCAATAAAACCATACTGCAGTCGATCTCCACCACTAATGAGTGCTGTGAAGCGGCTATGTACGGCGCTAGCGATGCTCATACGTCTATGCGACGAGGTTACCGTGGTCAGTTTGAGGGCGGATGCCAATGATACGGAAATGGAGATATCAACGGCGGCCCTCTCGCCGGAGCACGTGAGCTCTGTGGTGAAGAGTGTGACGTCATCAGTGGAGGAGGTCGCCAGCCTCGCACAGCAGCACATGATCAGACCAGCATTGTCTCCACGACCGGCTGTCGTCTCGCCTAGAGCATCTGCACAGAGGAACTCCTTGCCTGGTTAGTCGGATTTGTTCATTAGTCAAGAAAACCGCTATATACTTTACATTACCGAAAAGGTTTTATTACACTTGGGTTGCAAGTCCCAGGCACTGTTGAAGCTCCTCTCCCTGCAACGCGATGGACCCGGTACCCGCACGGTGAATCCATGGAATGCTGAGAAGTTTCGTCTCATTTAAAGTAAATTTTATTTTTATTAAGGTAAATGTGTCTGTTGCAGATATTCCCCTGACTCCTAAGGAGTTGTCCTTACTGACTGGTGCCCCGGGCGGTGATGCGGCTGGTGTTCGTGCCTCACACTCCTCGGAGTCAGTACTGGACGCACCGGACACGCCGCCACCTAAACCAGCACGACCAAACAGGTTATATACCACACATTATTATGATTTATAGAAAAATTCTATAACAAACACAACCTATATTTCTTTACTATATTTAGGAACATCGATTTATGCCAATGTTATTAGCTGTCATAGTTTATGTATATATAGAAACTTATTATTATCCACAGAGCCCTTTTACTTTATATTACAATTATGAATTACCCTACATACGAACATCGACATTTATGTTAATTAATTGATTATTATAATATATAATTCGGCTACAGTGATTTTGTTTTCTATTTGATAAGTTATTATGAATATATTAAATATTAGTTAGATTATCGTGCAGTGAAATTGTTTTAATTTAAATAATATCGATATATTACTTTCACGTCATTAATAAGCTTTTTAAATTTTTATTCATCTTAATCATCTTAGTTTATATATTCGATAAATTTAATTTTAATAAAATGCTAGAAAACGTTTTGATAAATGACTTTCTAAATATCGTGTTTAAAATTTATTATTGATATGTGATTATGATAATATTTGAATATCGTAACATAGGTTGTTGACCTTGAAAAATAAAAATTCACTTTCATTCATAATAAATAACGATTTGTTAAAGTGAAAGGCAACTTGCAGGAAAATCGACTTGGCCCCACCGTTACCGCCCAAGCGCAAGTCCGCGAACGACAACTCCCTATTAGGACTTTCCATAGACAGGTATCATTATTAATAATGTTGCCATAACCACAACTTTCATTCACGGCATCCAGTTAATTGGGTGTCGTTGACCTTTAAGACTTATAATACTAGTGTTATAAATATATATGTATATATAAAGCACATTAATTTTTTATACATAATATAAAATGTAAAATTTCAAACAAATGCTTTAGAAAATAAATTAAATTTATTGTAAAATATAATCTTTTTATATATTTATGATGATATGGTTGTGTTTTTAATTGCATTTCTATAATAAATTTCAGACTCTCTCTTCAATCACATAGCAGCGGTTCTTTGGACTCTATGTTGAACGTGTCAAACGACGCTCACGACTCATTGAACCACGATGTGTTCGTGCCTCCAAATAATTCAGAATTGATGGGTGAGTAATTGTCGTAACAAAAGCTACGTTTTCATAGTTATTATCTTACAATGTTCTTTCTAATGGACGTAGTTGGGTGATTTTATAATTGTTTTGTTTATGATTCCAACAACTTATTAAAATGACTGGTATAAAGTAGTTAAAGAAAGAAAGTTATTGTAATCGTAATGTATTGGAAGTATTTGTTAATATTATATACCGGCTTTCCGCCCGCAGCTTCGCCCGCGTGGAGTTCGGTTATATCGTGTTTCCAAGAGAACCTTTCAAAAGTCTGAGATAAAAACTATCTTATGTTCTATCTCAAGGTCAACTCTATTCTGTACCAAATTTTATTAAATGCAATTCAGTGGTTTAGGCGTGAGAGCGTAACAGACAGACAGAGTTACTTTCGCATTTATAATATAAGTAGGGATTAGTAGGGATGTGATTATGATTAATGTTTATGTTTCCAGGTATATGTAGCTGTAATAACATGAGTGAAATGCGAACATCGGTGGAGTCTCACGAGTCTCACATGAACAACATCCACGGTCATTCAAACCACAACCGGTTCGTGTTCATCCTTGACACAATAATTACTACAATGACTATTAATATTACATATTTATAAATAAACCTTCATCACTTCTAATAATTTGAATTAGTTATATAATTCTTCAAACTTAACATGACTCTTCATACAATAACAGAATTTAACAGTACATATATAACTTTTTAGTTACCGAATATATGATATAGAGTAAGTTATATTAATAACTAGTTTTTGCCCGCGACCACGTCCGCGTTAATTTAAGAATTAGAAGTATGTGTACAGCTGACTGGGCGATTTCTATTTCGCTTTAAAATCAGTAAGAAGATTTCAATAAGAAGATTTGGGATTATATCAACTTATTTTTCTTTTTTGATCAGATGGATAGTATCCCATGTGCTTTTCATCCAAATCTGTACAGCCGTGCTTGAGTTATAAATTGTGTAACTAACACAACTTTCTTTTATATGAATATAAAGATTATTTGTTATAATGGTCAATATTAATTTCAGTTTCTCCAACGAATCAGGCTTCGTGTCCGTCGGTCATTCCGAGATATCTACTGAACACAGTTTTGTATCTACGTTCTCATCTCACCACTACTCGAGCCACACTGACAGGTGCAATTTCTTTAATAATATATGTATTTTTTTCATCACTCACTGTTTGTTTGTTGTTGTTAAACGTTATACATTCGATTTGATGCTTTAACTCTACTACACAAATATATTGCATGAAACATTAAGCACTACGAACATTCCTACACTTGGTTATAATCACTCCATCAAATCGATTTGTATAACTCACCTTTAACTTATAATACTATGTTTTTTACATTTACTTCACGATCAATACACCTATTAGTATAATTTACTCTAAATTTCGATCACTGTATAGTATATATAAAAACATAGTATTATTTATGTGTACTCGTGATATTCTTGTATACCCACATTAACTTCTAAACACTATTAACTCCATTCGTTTGTGTCATGCTTCACGTTATTGTTTGCAGTACTTTTGAAAGTACAGAGTATGTGAGCGAAATGAAGTGCACAGTACAGAGCGTTGAGGGGCGCGTTAATATGTACGTGAACAGTGGAGGAGACAAGTGAGTTAGTTTATGGGATATGGCAGACGTGCTTATTATGTACATGGGAATTATACAATACATTATTTGTTACATTCGTTATAGTATAGAAAACATCATATAGAGATCTCTTTGGTAGTGATATTTATTTTTTTGTCACTAATACATACTATATTTCATTTTCCACTATATGTTTTGCATGTATGCACTCATTGTGGTAGTTTTGTTCTATGTACTGATTCAATCTTCGATTAAATAATCATACGACCTAAATTACAGTATATATATTATTTAAGATAAATATTTTGTCATCTTATGTAGATCTTATGTATATGTATATCGCTTGAAGGTGTAAGAAAAATTAAGTATTAGCTTTTCGTCCAGAATTTTTTTTATTCAATACTAATTCCTATATCATGTTTTACAGATTAGCGAGCATCACGTCAGACGAGTCAGAGACTCCGCCTGAGCTGCCAGTGAAGACTCGACGGAATATTCGGGCTGATATGCAACAGTACTTCCCTAACGTCGAGATCAGGTATAAGAATAATTATATATCAAAACTATACTACTACTACTACTACTACTACTATAAAAATATATATTATTGAATTTTAGTAATTCTATTTTAGTCAATTGTAACGATCGAATTCATACATGAAATTACGTATATTTTTCTAACCTTAATATCAAAAAATAAATTCAATACTTCACTGAATTAAATAGTAATTAAACAGATACTTCTGTCTCTTTCTATCATAGTCTAATAAAAAATCATTACTGTCTTATATTGACAGGTTGCTTAGTTTATATTTTTTTATACTTATATATATTTTTATACACAGAAAAGCTCCTTTCTCCCTGCACGAAACGCGTCCCCACACGCTAGCGGAGCACAATCACCAGCGACCGCCGCCGCTGCCTCTCAAGAAGAAACATAGTCAGTATCAAAACACAAAGACTTATCACTTATAATAATAATTATAAGCATAATTATGAGACATACATTTAGTTTAACACATTCATGGTTAAATCTTGGTATACTCCTTCACAATAATCGACATTAAACTTTTTCTTTCTGGAACATTCTTTACACATTACATTTGGAAAACCTGACAGCATGTTATCTTCCTATATCAAAAAAATCTCAATCTTTATATCCACAATATGTAAGTGTTCCCTAACATTCCCTGTAATCTCTCTTAAATATAAGTACATAACACATGTGTATGTGACTGTTAGTATTAAGATTAAAGGGGTTCAAAGATAATTGGTTGCAGTTATTCTGATGATGTAATAATTTTAAACATAATTGAATATATATAATGTAAGGCAAGTTTATATGATAAACTGCATGGTTGTACACCGGGGGTTATAATGGCATGTTTGTTTGTGTCGGTGCGGCGCCGCAGTGTTTCAAAGCGTCGCGTACAGTGGTGAGTGTGCATGACACGGTAGTAGCCACTCACGCAACAATACATATTAACTCGTATATCTGGTATTTATTTATAGATTTATAATATTCAATAAATCGACTCATTGCTCTTCAAGAAATTTCTTAATATTTTTAAATAATCATTGAACTTGTAGATAGATACCAGATAAGCTTTAAATATAAGCGTGCATACATTTCAGCATATAATGATTTTATTCGTAATAATTCAAACTATTTGTTACAAGCTTTTTCTTTTTATTCGAACCTTAAGTATATATATATATATATATTTAATACTGGTTCGTTTATCTCGTGGCTGAGGTCAGCGTGGACTCCATGAGGCAGACTGGTTGGAGCAGCTCGCGGCATAGCTTCATTAGGAACAGCTTGCTTATTGGCTTTGCTTCATTACGTGTCAGTAAATAACACAAATGGAATTTCGCATAGTTTGATCATCACTTACGATCATAGATGTAATTAGCGCTTATTAAAGCGCGTTGTTTTTCATTTTGTTCAGACGCTCTCGTATCTTGGCTAGTCGTGTATTTTAACTGTATAATATAATGTGAATTGTGTTATTTCAGTAATGGCCTACATGGAGATGTTTGGTAACTGCAGTCATACCCTGAACGCTCATGCAGCCATCAATTCAGAAGCGCCACCTGATATGTTCCGTCATTCCATACATACGTATAATTTGACCAGGTGATATATATTGTTAACGTTTAATCATCGATAATGAGCAATGAGAACATTTCTCAGTGTCATTCTAACGCTGGGAAATTTTTCTTCTAGTGAATGTGATATATGTATCATCTTTAAATTGATTTCATTATAGAAAATTTATAAAGATATAAAAAGGAAAATGAAATGTGTAAATATCAAGTACTAATAAATAAAGATAATTATAGCAAAGTTCTACTATCAAAAGACGCTATCAATGTCATTATTAATTCAACATTCCAATCTTTACAGTGCTCAACAATCAAGTTCAGGAACTATAAGCGTGGGTCATCATCAGGTTTCGAGAACCATGGCTTCATCGCTAACCGTACAACATTTAAGCACGCCACCATTAAGGTACGAATATTCAAATATTTTTTGTTTAATTTGTATAAATAATATAACTAAGGCTAAGTATATAAGATAAATAAATAAATACATAGTTTCGATGTTATTCCTCAACTTAATTTGTAAAAATTCATAAACATTACTTGTATATTAGAATATGTATATATTTTCGTAATATGTATCTGTATTCTGTATTCTATTATTTCAGTGGTTCAGATGACAGCGTCAGTATGAAGACGTCTAGTAGAAGCAGTCCCGTGCCGCCCGAGCCGCCCGCTCTGCCCCCCAAAATGAGTAAAAGTAAACAGGTAAGACACGACAATAGTACTACAGTAATTTACTCTCACTAGATGTACTATAACATATTATAAACAAGTATATTCTTAATGCAACATAGTGGAATTTGAACTTAATATTTTATGTACCTTCTTCTTCTTCCTGGCAATCTCTCAGCTTTAGCCGGTGTTTGCCGATATATATGTATATTAAGTAGAAATTGTTTCGTTCAGTGTTTGAAATTTACTATCAAGCATCAAGGTTTTAAAGACAACATAGAAGTCTACATGTCATTATAAGTAGGTAGCTAGATAAGAAAAGAACCTCGTCAACATAAATTTATATATTTAAAAATGCTATAAGATTTGTATTGTATTTATAAGAGGAAATTGGTTATCTGCGTTTAACCTTTCTTAGACAATTTATAGTTATAGAATTTTTTTTATAAGACGTTTTGTAACCTTTTTTATGTCCTTATATTTTGTTTCAGATAATGAATTCAAGCAATGAGCTTTTACCCCCGCCATCACCGCGGCCCTCTTCACACAACAGCTCACTGGCTGATGAGTCTATGTTGAATAATGTGGTAAGTTACACAGATAACATACACGAATTTTGTTAGTAAGAAAAGTTGTATTATTAATATAACGAAATATTGGACTAATTTATGTTTAATTTATTTCAGAGTTCAGAAGAGATGTACGTGAGTTTATCATCTCCTGGAAAGTTTCCTGTGGACGAAGAGGAATTGGATAGACTTGTGCAGCCTCTACCGTCACCTGTACCCTCACAGGTGAGTAACTATAATAGTTATATATTAATTAACACGATGTTACAGTAATTACAACACAGTACTATTTATGATTCATAAAAAAATATTAATTTTGTGCGTATGCCTTTAATAAATCTCTGTCAAAGTATAGTATTATATTTTATAGTCACACCAATAGAAATAATTTGTTATATTTTTATTTACCAGCGAAGCGAAAGTAGTACGGAACCTGCGGTCACTACCGAAGCAAATAACACGAGTGAATCCGACCCTGATGATATAATACTTCAGACTGATGTCGCTGGCTGGCTCTCACTGAAAGGAGCCAATAAAGAGGGACCCGAAGTACGGGGTGGGCATCCTGACGCGTTGATAGTACTGGCCACAAAAGCTACCAAAGGTATAAAGAATATAATGTGTATATTATATTATTCAAAGTGAACTAATTTCCATTACTATCATATTAAGAACAAGGGATTATTAAGTTTTAAAGCATGTTAAATCATATTTCTAATTAAATGTAATCATAATTTATTATCATTTAAAGAAATACCTCATAAGTAGATACTGTATGAAACTACGATAGAACATGTTCGCTTCTAACCTCTTAACTTCAATGCTTTCAATTTACAGAAACGGACGAGTGTAAGTGAAACATTAGATTGGGGCTGACAGACGTACTGGTTGTTACTAATATTATTAGATAGCTTCGTATGGTTTATAGGCACCTAATGTTAAATTCATATACAATATATATCACTATATACTTGGTATCACTAATATGTATGGAGTCACGCGTTTGAATATACACTTGAGAATAGCATGAGACGCAACTAACAAATGTCTAGTTTATTTTTATACACATAAAGTATTTATAATTATAAAGCACGACGCGAGTGAGCTTACGCTTATAAATTGACATTCTTTATTAAACAGGACAGTTTTCTTAATAAAACTGTAGTAAATTTGTTTCAATAACATTAGCGATTAGTCTTTAGTGAATAGATAAACGGCACTATGACAAAATATTGTAGTTGCTTTCTGCCACAAAACAAAAATATAAAATATCGCTGAAGGAATGAGCATGGACGCTATACCAACAGTTTTAAACGAAACGTTACCACTACGATGTGATTTGCACTTTATATGACATTCTTAATATCACGTATTTTGCAGATATCGATAGACGATGATTACTTACTGTCAGTAACCTTACCAATTTCGGCCCGTTGTACTACGTACGGAGAGTTTCCAGTTTTTTATTTATACTATCTTCTTCTTACACGATAGTATAAACGAAGGTTTATGATTGGAAAACTATCAACTTGTTAATATATTTACACTACGCAAACGTTTGGTATGGTTACTTTTTGTTCCTCCTAATTTGATATGAAAAATTTGAGTTGCGTTTCGGTTAAAACTGATTTTAGTTTGTTGTTTAGTTTGTTATTAATTTGTATCTTAAAACAGATTTCGCATACCAAGAAGCGTTCCTGGCTACGTACCGTACATGGGTGTCTCCGGGAGAGTTAGTTCGTAAGTTGGTGCGACGCTCACAACACTTCCGGTCAAGGACGCACGACCTAAGATCAACGCTCAGTCTGCTTACACGTGTGGTAGCAGATCTCACGTTAGTATAAAAAAGCGCTTACAAATATATATGGATATACTATACAGTCAATAACGAGTCTAGTTTTCTAATATAGATTTCATCAAATTTAATAATTACATAGTAACATATTGTGCTGATTACGCATCCAATAATAAAAATTGAATTTAAGCAAAGGAGCAGTCTATCATTTTTATAGCAAAAAGTATTGTAATTTTTCGAGTATCTGGGTATATTACATAAGCATGAATTATATATTTTAGGATGGCTGACCTGGAGCGAACACTAATGCAGGAAATTATGGAATTCATCTATTGGTTAGTGGAAGCAGAAGAGCTACCCATCTCAAAAGCTTTAAGGCAAATATTAGTCGATAAACAGAAACAATTGCACTTCCAAAACGTAAGTAATCCCTAAATCTAATCTATTCTTCTATCTTTATAGTAAATTTCTTTTTTATAAACATTATTTATACTTTTAGACAAATAATAGATACGAATACGACACTCCGTGTTACGGCAGCGTATCTCTAAGACGGGACACATTACTCGACTTCAAGGCCAGTGATCTGGCGGAACAGATGACATTATTAGATTCGGCCTTGTTTATTCGTATAACAACCGCTGAGGTATTGTCGTGGCCACGCGATCAATCCGAGGAGAGCTCGCCAAACCTCACAAGATTCACTGAGCATTTCAACAAAATGAGCTATTGGGCACGATCTAGAATATTGGAACAGGTACATAGATTAAATCTATCTTAATTATTTTATTAACACTTATATTGAGAGATCAAAATGAAAAAAAATATATATGTTTTCATAATAAATAATAATTATTGGCTTTAGTAAGATAAATCCGGTAGGTTATTTTATAATAAAGTAATACTTAAGACAGGAGTGGCCTCATATAAATTCTTCTATATGTACTTCGCAAAGTCGTGGGCAGTACAACTTCAAACATGCTATAACGTATGTTTGTTTGAGAAATAAATTAAACTTTATTTCACCTCAGACTAAACTACTTATACAGGGTGACTGGTGAATTACTATCGATATTTGAGGACGTGATATTTGACGATCATATATAACAAAATAAAAATTAATATAACATAAATATTAATAAACTTCTAAGTAAAGTTAACCAAAACTTATGTAATTAATTACTCATCGTGTGAACACCCTACAGATTAGGTATACACACACACACACACACTCGCGCGCGGCGGCGTGTTGTTGTATCAGCACGCCGCCGCACGCGTCCACACATGGAACACTTGGAACGTGTACACACTTTATTTATTTATACGGAAATTTGGTCAGAAAATTAAGTACCTATTTTTTTTACATAATTCGAATGAGAATCATGTACCGAGTATGCTCCTGAAATATTGATAGTAATTCACCAGTCACCCTGTATAATACCAACGCAAGTAAAAATATTCCACATCTCGAATCAAAATCGTATATAACACAAATCAATGATTAAATTCCTACAATATCACCAGTACGAGGCCAGAGAACGCGAGAAGTACGCCAGCAAAGTTCTGAAAGTGATGAAGTCTCTCCGTAAACTGAATAACTTCAACTCATACCTGGCGCTGGTGTCGGCGTTGGACTGTCCTCCCGTACGCAGACTTGGTTGGCCGAGGGCGGTCGCCGACGCTCTTAGGGACCACTGCGCTCTCATAGACTCCTCACACTCCTTCCGATCATATAGACAGGCATTGGCAGATACACAGCCACCTTGCATACCTTATATGTGAGTAAACATATTACTATTATACCTTATATGTAGTAGAGTAGACCTTATATGTGAGTATACCTTGTATGTGTATTAGTAATATTTAAGATAGCAAATGCATATGAGATATGACAATCCATATGTATCTGTTCCATTAAGATTGCTTTTTCTCTATTAAGGAAATATTTAGAACTATAATACAGTAACATGGAGTGTCGGTTTCAACACTTTAGATCATACAAAGAAATGCAGTTGTAGTATTTAACGTTGATATTTTTTGGTGTCGATTGTTGCTATAACTACATATATTTTATTGCTATTATCAATCTACCATATAAACATTTAAATACAAGTTAGTAAAAATACTATTACGGTAGGGATATTATTATAACTACTATATATTCTTGATATTGGCAATTATCAGTTTATAAAATACCCGCCGTTCCAATTGCTCTTTTTAGAAACTAGAATTAGAGTCTGAAAGTTTAGGAAAACAGTTTATTTTTTGGTTATTTAATATATTAGTAATATTTCATATTTTGTTTTCAGTGGTCTTGTTCTGCAAGACTTGACTTTCGTTCACGAGGGTAACCCTGATTTATTACCCGATGGCACCATAAACTTCACAAAAAGGTGGCAGCAGTACCACATCATGGAAAACATGAAGAGATTCCACAAAGAGTATGTTCACATATAATTTGAGAATATTCATAGCTGCTCAACAAATTTTCATATAAATATCCCATAGAAGAGTTTCCAAACGAAGATAATATCTCATAATGAGATCTAAGATTTGCGCGATTATTTATTTAAAATGAAACTAATAATTTTTCGGATATGTAGTCGCGTAGTATATCCGAAAAATATTAGTTTCATTTAAAAGAGAATATCTTGTTTCCTTATGTTATGAGACTGGTTAACGTTGTTAATCAATCCTGTACTTAGTATTACAATAATTATAGTGGGTAAGTACATCAAAGTTAATACATATTTACTTTGAAACATTTCCAGGCAGTACAAGTTCAAGAAGAACGAGCGCATCCAGGCTATGTTCAACGAGTTTGACGACGTATTGAGTGAGGAGACCATGTGGCAGATATCCGAGACGATCAAGCCGCGAGGAGGACGGTCGAGGAACACTTCCGCGCCCTCGCCCCCCGCGCCGCCCCCCGCACACCACCCGCCCGCCGCCGCAGCTACCTAACAAACACATGGTATATATAATGAGATCTAAGGCTTTCAAGAGTATTCATTTAAATGAAACTAATATTTTTCCGATTATACTGCGCGTGTTATTATTGTAAACTCTCGTCTGCCCGTGATCAGGCATGCTGAAAAGTAACCGAAACGTCAGGAGTATGTAGCTTTTACAAAAATAATATACACGTGGTATAATCATTTGCAGGGCAAATATAGTTTTTCATTCATTCGTGCAATTGTTGTAGTTGTTAGTGGTAATGAATGAATATACCAACAACAAAAGATAAAGAATTAAATTCAAGAAATACTTACTTGTTTATTCGCATCTTACAAGAAATGCTTAGGTATATGAAATTAAAAAATATGTTACCTTATATAGTTAAACATTTTTAATACTATGATTAAGTATGGACTTGTTTTCTGCATTATTCTGAATGTCTGTTTCTGTTGTTAAAAAATTGTTTTTATACTGTATTAAGGTATAGAGATTAGATTTTGTTTATATAACTTATATATACATATGTCATCTTCAACAGGACATCGGCGGGAGTCCTGCATCCAAAGAAAGGAGGTAAAGAAGTAGAGAGAATCGATCGACATAACGTGAGGTTTAACTGCGAGGAATTGTTTAACTATGTTAAGATATTGTGATTGTCCTAAAATGGCCTAATTATTTTTAGTATATTTATTGGTAAATGCTGTTTCAACTGTGATCGGTCTGATTGTGAATTGTATGCTTGACAGATAACTAACTTTGCTTGCTTGCAGTTAGTTATGTGATCTGTTTTATCTGTTGTCTTGTATCATACATCGTAAAAAATTAATTCAGGGAGCTGACATAATAACAGTGAATTGGTATATACTTGTACCTTTTGTAAACGATTTTTTTATTAGAGGTTTATAAGCAAGATTTCAATAAACCAAATAAGAGTGCAACATTTCTCGAAAGTGTGCACAAAGAGAGGATAACCCAAAAAATCTGTATAACTATTAACTATAACTGTCATACATATCAGCATGTGACTCTTAGACTACAAACAAAACGACATAGTTGTATGTTATTTCTGATACTCTGATATTTTTCTAGTTGTTGTGATTCGCCATTCACGTCTGTATAATAATAAGTCGACTTTGAAGCTAGATACATCGAATTAGGGGAGTACTTTTGAAGTTTTAAGTAGGTGATTTGCTATAGTTAGTTATAGTTTTAAGTGTGTGGTGGAACTTATATGAATGTTAATGATACATTTTAGAACATTAATCGAACTTCAATATCACTTGGACACTAGTGAGTCACTTGTACTATAGCAAGTCACTAAAGCACTTATAAAATAGTGGTAGTGACTGATTTCTTGTCTTTGACTGTTTTTGAATGAAGTCATGACATAGACCCATAACATTAATATACAAGTTAATTAAAAAAACAGTAACTTATTCAACAACTAATGTACTCTATCGAGTGATAAAATATGAAATTTTTAACAAAAAATTACTAATAACGTGCTCATTCGCAATCATGAACTGCTACAAGTAATATAAGTTAGTTCAAAGTATCAACTGTTGTGTGGAATCGCATGACAGCTGCTTTGTGTATTGAATTGGGACATTTTTCATGTTGTTTGGAATTAAATTGATAGAAATGAAATCTATGACGTTTAATGAAGTGAAACATTATGTAATATAACACCAATATGTACCAACTGTATGCACTACATAGATTAGTATTGTAGGAATAAGTTTTTTAGTATTTTTTTATACAAATTTATACATGATCACAACGAACATTGTAGTTATTGAAACTTTATTGTTGTATGTGTCTAGTCAATTGAGGCTTCAAACAAATATAACGAATTGGTTATCAAAAATACATCTAAAACATTGTGTGCCAAATAATAATCATGCAAAAATGTCCCGTTTCATGAAAGTAATAAGGAATTGCTTGTATTATTGTAAAATACATTAAGTACATTTAATATACTGATGGATGAAGTACATTTTCTAAGATTAACCAAGCAGCTTTCTATATAGGAATGATTTATATGACATACTATCGTAACTTCTATATATAATGATCGGGCTTGAATTTTAATGCTACAATAATATACGTAATAATGGAGTTATAGACTCCGTAATTTTCGGTCTACCTTTACACTTTGTTTATAGCAGTTGGTAGCGTCGGTTAGCTATCATCTTCGTGTTTAAACTAGCGTGGTTCTAAATAAATATAGTACATTATAAGAAATACTTCGAAATCGTAATAGGTACTAAAATCCACACGGGTTGTGGATTATAATTATTTAGGACGCTCCTTTAGTTATGAAATGTTTCATCTTCGCTATTTCTCGGGTGCTTCGACAGACGGTGCAATCATTTTCTGGATGACACAGCACCGGTGCATTCAAAACGTCTCATGCATAACTAAAGTCTCTAAAATTTACGCGTGTTCTTTAATGAAATTTGATACATAATATTATTATTTTTGATAAACAGAAATTATATTTTTCTTATTACTTGCTACCTACAAGGTGGCAAATGTTTACGATAATGCATACTTTTGAGATCTAAACTTGTTTATTAATGTGTCATTTTACTCTTTATTAAATTTAAGCTTAGACGCAGTGGGATCTATTGTAGCGAATTGTAATCTAAAGTTAAGGCTAATTTGTTTTTTATAGTACCAAATATTGTCAACCATACATTTTAATATTAATTAAATAAGAAACGGTTAAATTAATTTGCCTTAAGACGGATGGTTCTTGAAATAGCAATAATTTTTTTGATTGTAGAATCGCTGCACACTTGTGATATAACGATCACTCCCTAGAGTGCCGCTTACTACACGGTTGACGTCCTCTATACGTAGACAAATTATATTAGGTGAATATTAGTATAAGAGTACATAACCCCATTGTACTTGACGTTGGAAGCAGTCGCTGTTGTTATAAATATGTAATAATAATTTTGATCATCGAATCGTGATGAGCTGGTCTCATATTGTGACAAACCTTCCAAATTCAAATTTTCGCCTATCACAATGACGCGTTCAAGTGATATTCCATTAAGACGTTCGAATTATTCGAAATTTAAATCTTTATCTGACGATTCTGTAATGACGTCACTTTGATTTGTATATTAATTTTGTGATTGTGATAAGTGAATATTTTTATTGAAATATTAATTAGTATAAATCACACTTATATTTAATTTAATTGAAGGTTTGTCAGAATATAAAAAATAATATTCAAAGGCTAATAAATAATTGACAACAATGACAGTGTAGTTTGTAAAGTAATTGCAACGATCTGGTAGTTTGTGTACGTTTTAACGGGGACTAAACCCCCACGCAATAAATAACTAGACCAATATATTTAGAATGTTTTACAGTGCTTTACTTATAACATGTGGCTGATATTGTAATTTGTATTGTAAAAATAATTTTATTGCTAGTAAAGTTGTAGGTATGTTACCATTTTGTTGTCTGGTATCGTATTATATTTATTTAGCGTATCTTCTCTAAATGTTTTTTGGGTATATAATTGAAATATATTAAAGACTGCCTAAATTAATTACTCAGTATAATTGATGTAAATTAGTTGCAATATGGTTTTTTCATCGTATCTATGTAGTATCTATAGTTGGATCATGTGCATCGCGGTGTCGCTACTATCGCTGGTGTAAAGGAATGTATCTTAGCGTTTTGTCTATATTTATTAAGTTTTTTTTTTGTATGAATATGTCACTTTTAGTGAACGGCGTACTGTTGTATTAGCGAGTTCAGTATTATGTTAAATGAAATGCCATACTGTATCAAATGGATTTATATTATTTCGTTTTATATGCGATTGTTTTTTTATTTTATATACAGTAATGTTAAATTTCAATTTAGTATTTTATACTTTAATACATATAATTTGTAAATTTGTTTTAGTTTCTTGTAACACTGTATTCGAATTGCATGCGTATTGTACAGTTTACATTGTGTGTCAAGTTTTCTTTGTAATTATTTTGTAATATAAATATAGCACGTTATTTACAATCTGATAATATGATTAGTTTTATTTTATCCTTTTATTTAATATCAATAATATTCTTCAATAAATAATTCATATTGTAAGGTTTTATATTTTTGAAAATGTAATTAGATCCTATGGAAGAAAATATTTTACTTTCAGAGTGTGTCATTAAGTTAAAACAGATATTTAAGTGAAAAAAATATCCATTTTCTGAATTGATTTTACTTAAATATACATAATGTTTTTCTGTCAAGAAAAATATGTTACATTTAAAAAAAAGACTTCGATTTTTACGAGACATTTTGTGTATTTTTCATTTGCCAAGGAAACAGTTATTATTTGAGACATAGTTGTACATAATGAGTTATAAGACTAGCAAGTATTTATTTATATGAAACTAATATTTTCACGGTTACGGTTGCTGTAAAGTAACCGAAACACTGAGAGTATGGAGTTTTTAAAAGTAATAAAATACAAGTACATAGTAATCCGATTAATATCATTTTCATTTATATAAATGTACAATTTTTTTTTTGTAAAAAACTTTGGTTAAATAGACAAAAAGCATAGTCACCGCTTTGTTTGTTACTTCTATGGGCAACTGAGGTATCAAACTTTATAGTATACTGTAAATTTTTGATCAAAACTTTTTTATTTGAACATATTAGAGTTGGTCCTCTTTTACTTTAATGCTTATTTTTTAGTCATCGGTGACTTAGTCGTTTAGCAAGATATAACCTTTATATTTTTAAGGACACAGAGTTTTCCCTTTTTAGTACTTTTCCATACCGCTTAGAGAATAATAAGTTGCCGTTAAGGCATTTTGTTAGCTTGAGTAACTTTATTTTCAAAAACTCAAAGGGACGACAGGACCGTTGTAAGCTTTAATCACATTAATCCCTTTAAATCTTTATTTGGTTTAGCTTGTTGATTACTTTATCGGAAGTTTTGGAGTCCCTTTTACAGATTCTGATTTTGGATTTCGTCCTTGGTATATATTATGCCTGATGGTTAGATGACCCTTCCAATGAAATGCGGGTACTGAAATAATACATGAAGCGGGCACTAAAATGTATGAAATAAAGGAAAGAATTAGAGTTTGTATTGGTTTGAAAAAAAAATAATATTACTACAGCTACATGTCGATAACCCACACATATGCTACATTTCGTTTGAGAAGTTTCTTGCTTATAGAAGAACAGGAAGTCTCCTAAAGGCTAAACCAAAGTGGTCCTTGCGATGTTACTGTTTACGTTACGGAAATCTTAACACTTATCTGTGTCAATTATATTTACTATCAACCATTGAATAATATTGGTTTAGAATAACGTCTCAATCATTATGTTGTCTTCAAAACAATGCTATCAGTTTTCTTTGACTAGAAGTGACAGCCCCTTGTTACGCCGCGGGGTTCTTAACACACGCTGATAACTGTAATGTCAAAACATGTAATTGGTTTCAATAGTAAGCATTTAGATAACTTATCTAATTAGGTAATTGATAAGCTTGTAAGGTTCCGATGAACTTATAAAGGCAACAAGCAAGGATGTCGGTTAAAAGGTAAATTCAAGAGCTGAAGTCATTGTCTAGAAAGATGATTCTCAGCGGTACTATTGTTATTGTCTGTGCTATTTTCGTTTCTGCGTCGCCTATTGCCCAAAAGACAATTTTAGTTGAAATCGAAGAGGGATATAACGGTAAACTAAATATATAAAAAATGTTCATAAACATATTTCAATACTTTTTTTTGTACGAGTTTTCTTGAAGCGTTACAATGGAGTCTGCGAAATTTTCAAAGAAGCCAACACAATTGTAAATAATATAATTATGTAAAAATATATATTAATTTTATTATATAGATGCGCCTGCAACTGTTTTACCCTCGGTGAACGGTGATGAAGAACAGGGAAGTTTCTTCGAAGGTGACATGTTGTTAACATCGGCTCAACATCAGGCCATTCAACACGCAAAATTGGAGCGAAATGGTTTAAAAGGAAGCACTAAACGTTGGCCGAATCGCACTGTTTTATATCACATCGTAGATGAGGATTTCGGCTAGTATTGCAAAGAGCATACATATTGATGCACAGTGAGGATTAAGTATTTGAATTTTTATATAATTTCCAGATGATGAAGAAATCATGATGATCGAAGAGGCGATAAAAGATATAGCGAATAAGTCATGTCTTAAATTTCGCAAGAAGGAGAAGGATGAACATGCTGTTACAATTCAGGTAGTGTTAGCTGTTCTACATATTATGTCCTGGTTAAATCTGTAACCAAAAGAACTCAAAATCAAACATAATGTCTAAGCTAAATGTTTTCATTATCTAAACTATCAAAACTTTCAAGTAGATTCGTAAATTTATATTTATATTTAACCGTTTATATTGAAGTCCGTAATTTACAATCTTAACCTTGGTATAAAATGTAAACAAATATTCTAGTAGTAAAAGCTTGTTTCGAAAACGAGTTTTGAGAGTAGCGCAAAATTCTGCACTTGATCAATATACATAATGAAAGCGAATGAACCACTTTCTCAAAATATTCCCGTTTTGTGTCCAAAAATATCATATTGGATGATATGTGCGAGAACAGCTAATTATTTTAATTTAATAATTTTATTTGTCACTGCTAGGGCTCAGCCAATGGCTGCTTTTCAAATGTAGGGTACAGCCCTACCACGAGCGACGACAGTGACGAAGAGGTAACTCAGGTGCTAAATCTTTCCAAGGGTTGTTTTAAACATGGAACCGTTGTGCATGAGATGCTCCACACTTTGGGTTTCTATCACATGCAGAGCACTTTCGATAGAGATGAGTACGTGGAAATAGTGTGGGAAAACATACGATCAGGTAAAAATCGATATATGTACTCAAAAAATATATGTATATTACTTTGACTTGTTTTAATTACTTAATTTTTTTTAATAAACATTGTATTTAAAGTTTATATTCACTTTCTTATTTAAGGAACCGAGCATAATTTTGCAAAGTACACGGTTGACACAGTAACAGATTTCGGTGTGCCTTACGACTATGGTAGTGTCATGCATTATCCAGAAAAAGCATTCTCTAAGAATGGCAATAGAGCAATAATACCACTAAAGGTAAGTTATATTAAAAAAAAGTCAAAATTATCTTACCAAAATATTGCTTAAAAAAACCTGAAGCAAAACGAAATCTTAAAATCTTTTTAATGACGTTATTAAGGCAATCATCGACACATACATAGTCGTATCATCTCAAAACATGAACGCGGTCACGCAATACACATATGTAATTACGGCAATTCGTGCATTACAGTTCTATGATGTTCAAAATCGATGCCGATGTCATTAATAATGTATATCAAAGGGTTGAGGGATGTATAAGAAGTTCTTATCACTTCAGCAGGCTGTATAAGTGTATATTTATTTACAGGAGGGTGTTACTATCGGTCAAAGAAATGGATTATCGGAAAGCGATATTAAAAAACTCAACAGAATGTATTGTGAAGAATCTGAAACGGCCCCCGTTAGTTACATGGCATAATTATTTCATCTTTTTATTACTATCGATCTAAAATATTGGTTAAGTGAGAAATGAATAAAGGACAATTATTCTTTATACTTTCTTTTCTATACACCAACTCTGCATACTTTTCTTAAAAAAGTTTAAGCCGTTTTTATCATTGACGAATATAAAATTTTATAGAAATTATATTAGTTATAAGAAAGATGACAAAAAAGGGGAAGTCACAAGACAGGCATTTTATTTTCACTAGTTTTTGTCAGCCTATCATTACATCTAAATCAGTAAAAGTATGTATTATATCAAGTGTCTGTCTAAAATAAAGTATTAGAATATTGGTAAAAACAATAAACCAGTTTATAATAAATCTTATTATACTCATATGGAGCTGCGACTGACACTTATTTATCAATAATTTTGTATAACTACAATAACCACTTCTACGGCACAAAAAATATTTACAAGTAAAGTTATGGCGTTTCTGTTAGTGCCTTAAAAATGTATCTGCAACCTTCTTTTATGTTCACGGAGATTGTGCACTTGTGTTAATTTTTTTTACATTGCCAATTTAACGTGAAAGCGTAACCAAGTTCGATTATATTGCGAGTTTTTGTAAGTACTTACTTGACTAGGTTAAAATATGTGTAGATATAAATGTATGGCAGTATCAATTTTAACTTATATAGGCTTTGGATTGCAAAAATAGATAAGGAAAATAAAGAGTCAATCTTTAATGACGTATTTGCTATGATCAAACAAAAACTTGTTTAAAATAATTGCGTCTTATCATTATTGATTTTTATAATGACATTTTAAAAAATCTTTTTTTAACAAAGTTTCTTTGATTTATATTATGAAAGCAACAGGTACAGTTTCAGCTAATTAGATTACTTTACAAAGTTTGCGTGCTTCGATATTGTGGGTCAATTAATGAAACCAAGGTTTTGTTCAGTGATAGAATAGATCGAATAGTAAATTTAGCAATTCTTTGTTAGACGGGGCGACTGGCTTGAGCCGTTACCGCTGTAGCGCTGTCGTAAGTCTTCTGCAGTACCGCGTCAACACCTTGTGAAATAGTCGTATCTAAGACTATATTAATTCCCGACCCGCCTCGGTGGGTTTTGTTTCATAAAAACTTTGCTACATAGTGCAAAAAACTCAAAGTACCTAAAGAATTCACGCTGGCTGTATCCAAACATAGCAATGTGGTCATACCGTTAATACGACACACTTTTTGTCGAATGTTGTTTTAGCTCTACGAACATTCAATACTAATGAATTAATGTTTTGTTTTCTCTTATTAATATTTTAAATATGAAGTGGTTGTGTTATGCCGTCATATGCCACTTGTGCTCGCTGGGGTGCCTTGCTATGACGCAGAGCGAAATTGAAGATTTTAGTAATTTTCTAAGACAAACATCGAGTCTGGATCAAAATTTAAAAAGTAAGATTTTTCTCTTAAACATTTTAATAATTTATTTAAAAATACAAGCAACAGTATGCTCTTGGTTTATTAACTAAAATAAAATTAAGTATATCTAAATGTATTGTATGCATAAATATGTTTATACATATTTCTATTGTCTTTTTGAAATTTTAAACACGCTAATTTGCTTCATCTCTGGAAGGTCTACCAGAAGGAGATTATGAGGAAGATGTGCCTCTGGAAGATCATCACGCTTGGGAGAAGAGCGGAAAGTTTGAAGGAGACCTCATTCTAAACGAACGTCAGAGAAGGATGATTGTTAACAACGTCGTGGAAGGACTCGCTCGGAACGGTCTGACTGACAGCACTAAGCGTTGGCCGAATAACGAAGTCATTTATTTTATACAACCTGACCACTTCTGTAAGTGACTAATTTGAATAACGCTATGCAAATATGAAATATTGTACTATTGTACTTTCTTTCTTTATAGTTGTCTTTATTAATGAAAGGTCTTCAAAATAGTAGATAACAATTAACAAATATTTGAGATATTTTCGGATTTCGTATTTTTTATTCAATGTATACTAAAAATGAGGAAAAGTTGATGTTTGATTAATAACTAAAATATTAAAATAATCGTTATTTGTTTCCAGTTTTAACTTCCCCTTTTTATTTTTTATACAATAATAAGTATTTTTACTAATTTTAACAACGTCTACCAAGTACGATAATGTATTATTACAAATTATAAATAGTATAAAATTAATTTCCAACGTGTTGAATTATCTGTAATATTAATAATCAAATTAATATGCCTTAGATATAATATTATATGGAAATATTAATTATTTTCAGCTGATGATCAAGTACGTTCAATACAAAACGGTATCGATGACTTGGCGAGAGCGTCGTGTGTTAAATTCAGACCTTACGTGAAAGGAGACGCCGACGCGGTAGTCATACAGGTAATGTTCTACAATGTAATTAATGATTGCTATCTATCTAACGGACATTTTATGACCTTATGTCATAATGTGCTATTAATATTTATACTTCCACATTGTTACGATTCTCATTAAAGTAAAAGTTGGCAAGCAGTCAATATTTAATTAGTATTAGTTAATAAAATTATATAAAACAATCGGTTCGTCTCTGTATTAATGCAACATTGAAATGCATCTCTTTTCTCTTTATCCTTTAAAATAATTATGATATTTGTCTGTTTTTTGTTCAGGGAAGTAAGCGTGGTTGTTTCTCACAAGTGGGTTATCAAGGAGGTTATCAAATTCTCAATTTATCTCGTCGCCATCCAGCTGACCGAGGCTGCTTCCGCCTTGGGACTGTAGTTCATGAGCTACTTCATACTCTTGGCTTTTTCCACATGCAGAGTAGCCCTGACCGAGACGAGTTTATTGACGTATTATGGGATAACATAATAAGACGTGAGTTAACATCAATACTAGAGCACTTTAAACAATGAAATGCCCATAAATAGGAGTATAATTTTATATTTCATCCTCATATCAAATGACACCCATATATTTATAAGGTATTATATTTACATATATCGTAAGTTTTAAGGTCAGCAGAAATAATTTAAGTCGTCAATAGTGTATTGTGCTAGAATTTCATTCTAATCCCCCGCACGTCCTGAATACAAAATGGTTTCCTCCTTACCAACAAGTCAACAAATAATCATTGCAAAAAATAATTTCACAAAGATCGTATACTAAGTAATTTCTACAGTATCATACGTGGCTCTTATAACATATGTATATATTTTTATTTTTTTAGAGGCCAGACATAATTTCCGCAAGTATGATTCACTTTCGGTTTCTGATTTTGGAGTTGGCTACGACTATGACAGTGTTCTGCATTATAGCCGTAAAGCTTTCTCTTCAAATGGTCAAGACACGCTCGTACCTAAGGTAATTCCGATCATGGCATTTCCATTCTATTAATTAACATGTATATATATTAGTATTCAATATTTAAATGTATCTGTTAAATAAAATTCACTTCACTTGTTTTAGAATGGCGCTGATATTGGACAGAGAATCGGACTTTCCGAAAAAGATATTATTAAATTGAACAAAATGTATTGTGATGTAGATGCAGGCGTTATATCTCAAGACAGTATTTCATCGTTCGACGTGGAGAAGAAGAAGAAAGGTGGTAAAAATAAACCATTCGTGGGTCAAGGACTGGGATATCAAAAGGGAAAAACTGTCATTATAAAACTACCTAAAGCTGAAGAAGAACAAGAAAGGTCAAATAATCCCGTACATGGTTACTTCAGTGAAACAACGCAGACCACACATCCAACATTTAATCTAGAACCGGGCCTTAAAGATGACACAATTTTATATGACTATCAGATCCCTGGACGTAATATAAATGAATATATGTCACTCATACCGAGAAAGAAAGAAAACCAAGACGACTATAAAGAATTAAAAATTATTGAGGCGAATAAGGACGATAAAAGAATTTCTTACTTCCCAAATGAGGGCTCAATAGTAGAATCAGATAACAGAGATGTTTTACGATTGTCACAATTACCAGCTGTCCTCCAAGAGGATAAAGATGGTGTTGATGATTTAGAAAGAATATACTATTATGGTCAAAGTGACAGTTTGTCACCACATAGGGTACCTATAATAGAAAAGCAACAGATAAAAGAAAAAAATGCTAAAAATTTAGCTTACCCTCACTACGATACCTTAATTTTTCAACCCAATAGATTCTCTGAAAAGGATTCAGAGTTTTTATACGAAAAATCTAAACAAGATTCACCTCGAAGTCTTCCTTATAATCCATCAAATGAGTTTGCTGACAGTGAATGGCATTTGAATGAAAATTATAAACCTAATTTTTATATTCAAGAAGACGGACAAATTAAACATGATAGATATGATTTACCAAAAATAGGGTATAATTACAATTAGTTTTAATAGTAACATAGCCAGCCAGTACCATAGTTACTATGGACCATTCGTGACACGAATGGTTTATAGACTATAATCTTCACTCTCTTGTTGCATCAAATGTAAATAACATTTAAAACATTGCAGAGATTAAAGTGAACCATAGTGTAAATAATGATTTAAGTGTTTTATTTTTCATAATGGAATCTAAACTGAAGATTACAAAACATAGTAAGATTAATAAGATACGTACCAGTGTTAATCAGTATAGTATAAGAATGTCACCTCTGATTAAGTCTGTTTTGTATTAAGTCTTCTTAACGTTTTAGTTTATATGAAAGAAGTGTATATTTTTGTTTTTATGTAAGATGATATAGTTTTTTTTTGTATGTATGTAAGGCAATAAATTGTTAAAGTTTTATTTTATTGTTTTTGTGCTATATATTTACGTATGGTTGAGTTTGTTAATTGTTGCTATTTCTTATAAGGCATACGATCTGTCTAATACATTCTTAACTAACTGGTATTTTCTAAATAAAATCAAAATAATTATAGTGTAAAACAATTATGGCAAAATATATCTCCCTATTCATGGCTTTTTTAACTACAGATACTTAATTTGCTCCTAGATGCTATAAAACTTGATTATCGCTCAAATAGAAATTAAGATTAAAGATAATGTGGAGAAAAAGAAGAATATAACATATTTCAAAACTGTGGTGCCATTTTTTATTCATATAGTATTCTTAATTAGTCAGAATTTACACCTAGAATTACGAAGTAGTGCAAGATCCTTAAAGTTTATTTTCCAAAAAAAATTAAAGCAACAACTTTTTATTTACGGTTCAGTTCAATTATTATTATGGCTTTAGTCGGCGTTGACAGGTCACATTTTTTATTTTATTTTATGCGATATGTCAGTTTTTGTCGGACTTCAATATGACACTTGACAGTGACTTATATTGCTGTAGTTTATAGGTAATTTATATGAATCATAATAGTGCATTGTTGTGAAATCTCTATGTATCGATTGTTAAATGTTGTTTTCAAACTATATGTGACGTCCCAAATATTTAAAGTCTTATTATGATAACGAGATAACAAAAGATATATTCGCAATGATTATCCTAAGACGGTGACAACTTAGAACTTTTAATCCTCAATAGAAGTAGTATTTTGCTAGAGATTTAATGGGTTGTGCTGTATCAGGGGTACAACATACGATGTCTCTTTTTGGGAGACAATCTCAAGGCCAGGATGTTCGTGCAAAGTTAGAGAGGAAACTTTACATCGCTCGAGAATCACCTGATCCGGAGTTTGATCTATCTGACTGTCAGCTTAAACGTTTACCTGCCGGTATATTTTCTATTTGTAAGGTATTTAGAAAAGATAATTTATATCTGCACAATAACCAACTACAATCACTTGAAGAGGGAGGACAACTATCAGATCTTCAACTTGTTAAAGTTGTTAATTTAAGTTGCAATAAATTTTATAGACTGCCGAATAATATACGATTTTTGGTGAGTCTTACCGAGCTGTATCTTCAAAATAATTACCTAGAATCTCTACCGGAAGGATTTAAGTATCTGGAAGTTTTAAAAATTTTAGATGTATCCAACAATAAGTTAAAGAGTCTCAATCCATCACTTGGTAACTTAAAATGCTTGTCTGTTTTCAAAATAACTGGAAATATTGATTTAAATAGGCTCTGTCCAGAACTGTGTTTTGCTACCAATTTACAGACAATAGAATTAGATGGAGAAAATTTTATATATCCTCCTATTGAAATTGCTACCAAGACTACAGAAGATATAATGAAATATTTATGTTCAGATATGAATATTCAATATAGACCTCCTCAAGTAACAACTGAGCTGCAGTCACCGTTACCAAACAAAATTCATAATCCCTTTGGTAAACAATTAGGCATTACGTGGGAACAACAAGAGTCAGCAATGATTGATCAAGAAAACAAACTTCATCTAGCAAATCAAAAGCAAAGGGAAAAGTTTTTGTCAACATTATTACAAGAGCAAAAAGATTTAGATGATGAAATATCAAAAATCCAAGAAAATAGGGAGTCGGAAAGACGAAACTTGATGAAAACTATACAAAGAGAAGAACAAGAGATAGAGTGTATAGTAAGAAATTTCATACAATCAGAAAAACAAAACCCAGAAGTAATTCAACAACAGTTAGTATATGAGCAGTTGGAACATGATCGTTTGCTCGAAATCGCCAGACAAAATTATGACAATGTGAAAAGATCTGACATTATAGCAAAGATGAAGGAGTTGTTAGAAAAAGACTGTTCTATTAATTACTATAAAAGACACTATAAGGATAATTTAAATAATGTTAAACAGAATTTATTAATTCAGGAATCTGAAGGGGCAGTCAAATTGGAAGAACTTTTGAATGCTAGAGATGAAATGCGTACAGATTTGGTGCAACAGCTATTGGAAGACCAAGATGTCCAACAAGCGATGGTGTCTAGTTTGTTGGACAGAGTTGACGCTAAAAGTTGGAGCCTTAGTCAGGAAATATCATTAATTTCTATGCATCTGTCCAGACTCAGCATAATTGAACAAGAAAAGAAGAAAATAAACATGGCATTTAATTATAATGAATTTTTACAGCAGCGGATGAAGTTGGTAGGTCTTTTAGATGATCTTTTAGACCAGAAGAATTTGAGAAGAAAACAATTAATAAACACACTCAAGGAAGCAGAAAGTGAAGGAAACTATGCACATGACTTTTGGCTTAAAAGTTATCAAAAAGTGTTAGATGCTGCTCCCAAGTCATTGTTAAATGTGGGAAAGTTGGATCCTGTTCTTGCAAATTATTTGTTACAAGAAGGTGTTATACATTGTTTGCCATTCTTGGTGAAACTGTTAATTTCAGGTAAATCTTTACTTGAAATAAATAACGAAAATTTAAAGGATAATGGAGTTTCCTTCACCTTAGATAGAGAAGGTATTTTGAGAGCTTTAAAGTTGTATGTAGAATTTGGTTCAGATATAATGAATGAGCCAGGTCAAATTAGGTCTACAGAAGATACAAGTTTGTCTGATGCTTTGGAGAATAAAACCTTGGGAGTCCTTAAAGCTAATGAAACCGATAGCTCAGTAGTTGAGGGTGAATGTGTTGTTTGTATGGACACAAAGTCTGAGGTAGTTTTTGTACCATGTGGTCACATGTGTTGTTGTCAACCCTGTTCACAGAATGAGTTGGAAACCTGTCCCATGTGCAGAATAAACATAGAGAGAAAAATTAAAGTCATCCTTTCCTAAAATTATTTTTCTGCACATATACTTTTTATTAGGTTAATTCTATTTATTAATATATATAACATTATAAATTACCCAGCTGATAACATTTTATTTATTCTTGATATTCAAATGTATGACCTGTTTATTTAATGTTTCTTTTTATTAACTAGTCAAAATTTGCCATTAAACCTGTCAAGTTTTAAGCAACACATTTGTTTGAATGTTGTTACATGTGAGTGTTGTTGTTTTAAGCATATTTTTCTTAGTATTTGTCTATTAGCAACAAGGCTGTGAATTGTAAGATTATATCAATGTATTTGTTGATCTTGCAATGTCTTTTTTGAAATATTCAAGATGTGATTTTACAAAATATTAATTGCACTTACAAATGAAAGACAACCATAAATTTATTTGTTTTTGTAAATGTAATTTTGTACATTGAAATGTAAAGAAATGGATATTCTTTTAAGTTTAAATGAATGAAAAGAATATTGAGTTATTGAAAATATGTATGTTTTGTTTCTGAAATGTGCAGTTTTGTAATTGTTATAAATATTTCGTGTTTTCGTTTTAAGATTATTATTATTTATTTTAATATTTAATGTAAGGCCTGTGAGGGACCATTAAGTGTCATTTCTTTGTACCTACACTGTGATTTAATAAATTTTCGCGTGTGGTCACATGTTTAAAATATTTACATGGTGCTCTATCAATTGCGTTTAATGTAAAACTGATATTCAATTATATTATCCTTGTTCAATTTGTAGTTCAAGTGTTACTATTTTCCACGTATTATAAAATATACGACATTAGCACGATATTATGTGTTTTTTTTTCTATACTGTAAATAAATTCCTTGGTATTGAGTAGTTTTTGGGTAAAAGAAGTACTAAACTAAATTATAATTTAAACATCTTTTTACCACAAGTTGTCGTTTCTTTGGGTTTCTTTGATCAATTTTTAAAAAAATACTTTTTTATAAAAGTTACTAATAATCAGCTTGAAACAAAAGCTATTTACTTATTTATTAAAAATAAATGTTTTTTTGCAAGATATAAATGCCTGAAAAAATATATGTCAGTGTAATAATTACACTCATTTCTTAGCATACCTAACCACTAACCACTAACTTCAAACAGACTTTGGTATTGTAAGGAACATAATAAAAATTCTTTTGTAGACCGAGTCCTTGCAAATTTAACTAAATGAAGCAATTTATGAAAAGAAAATTAACAAGGTGAAATAATTACACAACGGAGCTCATGATAAATTTTTAATTTGCGAGACTGTCAACTGATATTTTTATTCAGCGGCGCGGCGTTCTGAAATACGTCATGTATCTTCTATATATATAAAAATGGATTGCTGTTCCTTAGTCTCGCTAAAACTCGAGAACGGCTGAACCGATTTGGCTAATTTTAGTCTTGAAATACTCCTGGAAGTCCAGGAAAGGTTTAAAAGGTGAGAAAAATTGGAATAATTGCCGGGAAAACCCTAAAAACAGCCCTTTTCTATTTCCTATACAAACGTTTTTTTTGACATTAGATTTGACAACTAACTAATATGTCAATCATTCTGTTTGATTGAAACAGGAAAAACCTGATTATTTAAGGCCTCTAAGACGGAATAGAGTTCGCCTGGTCAGCTATACCTACATATATGTATTACTCTTGACCAAACTAACGCGGACGAAGTCGCGGGGAAAAACTAGTACCTAATATATTTCAGTATTTACATAATCCTTGATAACTTAGAGTTGTTCTATTGAAAGTTACGTACTAATTGTCACCGATAAATGTCTGACCTATTTAATGACGTCAAGTGAATTGTTAGTTTTGTGTCTTGTACAATTGTAGAATAACTTCAAGTGATGTTTATTTCTTGGGGAGCTCAATTCGACATAATTAAGATACCATTTCATTTTATTGTGTGATTAACTCTGATATCTATTCAGTTGTAGACTTTATGAGTAATTCTTTATACCATTATTTATATCTGTCTTGCATGAAGCCAACAAGGTAGTGACTGCCGAAGCCTAGAAAGAGAACTATAGGATGACTTATCACATTGCTTTATTCCAAAACACATGATGATGAAATTATTTAGAAAAAATATAAAATTACATTGAATAAATTAACGATTTTGATGATAATCATCAGTAGACGTAGTAAACCACTATTATTAATTTGGTTTACTCAAAGTAACATTGAATTTAAAAAAAACAACATTCAAGCAATTACTTTATCGATCCACATCGAGCAAACCTATTTATATTTTCTCAGATGTAATTTAATATGAAAAGGTTTTATAGGTATTTTATTGTATCATTTTTCGACGTTGCGAATCACTGCGTCTCACATCAAATGGGGACGAATGCGGAAAGGAAATTGAATCGAAGGAACGTATCAATAACATATCTATATGATTACGCCCAAGGACTTCATTTTCACTCTTGAATGTGTACGAAAAGGTATTTCTATGATACGTATCATGAGTTAGGATGTTTAGTGGAACGGAAAAATATATTGATAAAATAAGTCGTTCTTGTACGCTTGTACCTACCATTGCTTTTCAATTATTTCTACAACATTAAATCATGAGTGAATTCTTTAGTGTTGATAAAAAAAGAAATAGCTAATTATTAGATTCATTAAAAATTTTATATGACTTCGTAACAAATAGCATGCTTATTTGGAGTTAGAAACATTTTTTTTTCGTATTTTTAACGGTTGTATAGTCGATTTTTAATTAAACATTCATTGTCATTCGTGACATAAAATAACTTATAAATATTTTAATTAGCGTTAATTATTATCATTAATTGAATAACCGTTTTGTTGAAATTTGAATTCTACAAAAATTTTTTAATCAGCAAAGTTACTATTGTTCCTATGTTTTTCTGATATAACTAACTTCAAATGAGGTATTCCCGTCAAAATACAGAAGTTGATTTCGTTGTAAACAAGAAATACCCATATCAAAAACTTAATTAATTTAATCAGTGTATGGGTATTATTTTGTAAGTAAGCTGAGAAAATCCTCATGAATAGTAGGTGGGGCCCACGGTCCTCCCCACGGGAGGTGTTTCGCTTGATAGAGGAAAATCATGATCCCTGGTTGTTTCATATTAAGATATAAGCCCTGCCATTATTTAATCACATTAGAATCGTAAGCTATTTATCAAAACATATTTAATAAGTATAAGCATGTTTATATATTATATTGCCTAGGTAATTTATTTCATACCACGCGTAAAATCAAGTTGAATATCCTATGTTAAAAGAATTAATTATCAATTTGTATTACCAAAGAAATCTTCTGCTCCATGTTCCTTGAAATGCTATCAAAGTGATCAAAACATCAAATTACGTTCCGAGAATAAGATAAGCAACGCCTGTTCATTATAAGCCTTGTTTCAGACTTCAATGACGACGGCATAAAGTCCGACCTCATCAGATAATTGCGTTCTTTGATCTTGAGTTGTTCAAAATCTGTCTAAATACAGATAGATCAGAGAGGTTCATAACATCATTAAAATTTGACGATTGATATCTTATATAAAAATGTGCCCTTTGAATTGTAAAATTGTGATCTTAATATAATGACTTATTTGATATTATAACAATGAGTGTTGGTAATGTTTATTTGGTCAATAATTCTTTGCAATGGATAGAACTTAAAATAATAATTATTCATAAAAAAAGGGTTATTAATCGAAATAATATTGTAATTAGTTTTAAGGCATCAGGTGTGTTATATGACCTGTGGTACCTATATTTCAATAGGTAACTTAAGCTCTGTGATTGTATAAAATACAGAAACACAAATTAGAAAACCCCAACCAGATATGAAGCAAACATAGCGAAGAACCACAACAAGGAAAATGGATTTAAAATGGAGAATATTACATTGAAATCGGTACATTTGAAAGCTACGCACACGCCTATCTACACTAAAGCACACACACATACACAGACATGTTCTGGCATAGGGGTTAAAAATTATTTTTAAGATTTCCATATTTGAAAAACCGTTCCAAAAACATGATAGGAACGTATGTACACACTGAATACAAAAGTTATTGTGATTATCGATTATATATATTTAGAACCAATTTAATAATGTGGTTGGTAGGTTTACAAATTTTTATATTATTTATACATAGTAATATTATAAATACAACATCAATATTGTCTCTCCGTGGGTCTATAACTTTTTCTAGTCTGAACCTATTAATCGATGTTTTTGAATTAACCTTTTTTAGTAATAGGACTTAAGACAAGGATATAGTGCACAGTTTTAGTGTGATAAAATAACTTCAAGTAGACAAAATTGCTTTATAAGAATATAATAATAATATAAAATTAATCGATATCTATCGCATACACGAAACCAGAAATGAATATGTTGATATAATTACCCTGTTAAAATAAATATTTTATTGCTTCTGTAAATACTTATTTCGAATTTTCTGTTGAGTGAGATAAATGACGGGCTACGTCTGAATGGTACACGAATAATCCGTTCAATTAGCTACAGATCAAAAGATTATCTGCATTAAACGATTTACTGTTAGTTTGAGCTTCTCCGACTCTTAATCACAGAGATTAATTTAAAAATGCTTTATTTGCTATAACATTGTTATACAATACTGTAAAATAAAGTAGTTGTTTGAAGTGTAAAAGTCTGATTTTAACAATTATTTTGTGTGAATATAAGGTAAAGCTTTAATAAATGTTTGAAATATTTTATACAGAGAATTTTTGATATTTATGGGCATTTCGTTGTGTAAGTTATCGGCAACGTCGTTTGCGCTGTTATAAAGGAGCTGCAGTAATTGATATCAATTAGGGACCGTCCCAATGGCCCCTCAAGAAAATTGGCCGCAAAATCCCGTTCACAGTCATCAAGATTGTCACCTTAATAAATTGTGGTTGAAAAGTTTTGCTTCAAACAATTATAGAAATGGTTTCGTCTCTTGAATAAAATATGTATTGCTTTTATATTGATACGAATTTCGTAACTTTTTGCTTATTTATTTTAGATATAGTATTTGAGATGGCTCATGGAAAATTTGCAAGGGACTTTTATTCTATAAACAATGCATTACAAACTGTCCGTAGGTTGAGCATTAGGGGCAATTTATTATATTAAAACCGCTTTAACTTTACCCGCCCCGGTCCTGTTAAAATATGCACAAAGCAAAGGCGTTGATCATACTTAAATGATGAAGATTTAGAAGGGCAGTTGTTCTTGAATATGGAGCGGCAGTTAGGAGTTTTAACGATGGGTCTTAGTCAGGAAGTTCGCTAATGTTCCTCTTAGATTTAACAACTTCTTATATATATAATACGATTTAATACGAAATCTAATTAAATTATGATACATTAATTTTATTAATAAATATTTTGTTCTTACCTTTTATGATGTAGTTATATAATTTTTATTCCTACCATTTTTTTTTACCAAATTGGGAGTTATAATAAGTTAAAATACTAAAAAAATCTGACATTTTAGTCCACATTTTAAGTAATATTCCGCAAACAGTTAGCAAGTTTCTTTAGAGAAGTTTCCCTCAAGAGCTCATCGAAACTTTCTCTTGAAGTATTCGTTTCATAAATTAAACGTCAAATTTCATAGCTACTGTGATTGCTCTTCGTTGTGACGAAGTTTTATAATAAATGTGGGCAATAAACAAGAAAGACTTAAGTGTTTACCTTAAAAGGATACAAGTAAATTAATAACTTCGTTGTCTATGTGGTAGGTATTAGGAGAAATTTATGCAATCTTCCACACATTTACAAGAACATTAAGTAGTAGTAATGGTACTTTCAAGTATTAAGTACAAGGACTGTGTACTTACATTAAATATAACTGCTCACAGAAATTTATTGTTTGACCTTTTACAGAAAATATAGAGCACATTCAGTTTTCATATTTTATAAGGCTATTGATTCTCAGAATGAATTCCCTTTTAAACTGTATTGCATTTATTTTTAAAGAAAGAATTTTTATGCTCTTTAGTTAAAGTTTATTAAAGTACATCGGTGATTGAAATTTTTGAATTCTATTAATATTGAATCGAAATAAAATATCATCATATATATATTTTTTATTAATACATTATAGTTATATAATAGTCACCACGGGCGGTATCTCTTGTTAAACCCAGTAATTCTTCATCATTTGAATAGCAAAAGCCAGCAACATAGTCGGGATATGAATCACATTGCGTACATATATATTTTCTTCCATAAACAGCTTCTTTAAAATATATGAAGGCGCACCGATGTTCACAACTATCTGTCACTGCATTATATTAACCAGAGATATTATTTTACAAATAATGCATTTCCTAAGAACATAAACCTAAAAATCTTTTAGTCAACTCACTTTCGCTTTTAGAGCAGCAATGTGGTTGGGCATCTCCTCCGTTGGGATAAAAATCTGCATGTCCGACACTCGATTCGTATCCTAGGACACCCGAGTTAGTGTGAATAATATCTACAAAATTTGCTGCGTCTTTGGTTATTCCTGAAAGCAATGGTGGAAATTCGAAGAAAGGACGAGCTGGATCCAAACCTGAAAAAAAACTAATTTAGACTAAACTGACAGAATGTTTAATCATTTTCAATTTGATTTTGTTTCTATTATTACCGGTGACACGATCTACAATATATTTCTTGTATTTAAGTTTTATTCCGGTCAAACCAACAACATGTGCTCCCAAACTGTGTCCTATCAAATGAATGTCTGTGCCGTGCAGCTTAAACTTCTTAGATAAAGCCAAAACAAAATCGCTGATCTGTGTTTTGTAAAGTGTTTTATTAAATACATACACAGTTTACTTTATAATCAATATCCATGCAATGATAAAATAAAGAAATTAGAAATATCTTTCTAAACATACCTCTTCAGCAACGCTATCTGTTAATAATGCGGAGGTCATGTAATTAATATATGAGGCAGGTTGTTTCCAATCTACGATAATAACATTCACATCTCTAGTTGCTAAATAAGCGTCTTTAATCATCTGAGTTGAATTACTGTAGCCAGAGCCGAGCCAACCGTGGGTTACTACTACCAACGGTTTACTAGAATCGTAATTTTTGACTTTCTTTAGATTCACGTGAAGTTCCTCGAAATGGTGTCGGTTACATCTGGAAAACGTTATTAATATGTAACCATGTAACTTCGGAATTGTAAATATTGAGGAGTCAATTAATTTTGAAAACAAATTCTTACTTGGTGTAGAGCCAAAAGCGCACCTCGACTTCTGTGGATAGACGTGTTTCAATAAGATCAGCCGTATAATAAACCGGTACATTCAAGTTGATCAAATGCAAATGGTGATTTTCGTCGTAGTATTTAACAAATTCGCTAGCATCATCACCCGTAGCTAATTTTGCTAATCTCTGAAAAAAACTTTAGTCTGTCATTTAATATTTTTTATATGTACAAGATTGGTATCATAAATTTGTATCATAAAAATATTATGTGCGCTACTTTCTACAACAGTTTTTGTAAGCTACAGAATGTATGAATTAACATAACCTGATAATCAAAAAGGTGAATGTATTGTTTTATTAGCAATGTTGAAGACTTGGCAAGTTTTTAATATTTCGGAAAGTTTAAATTGACTTAAACTCATATATTTCTATATAATTTTACTATATTATAAGGAAAGACGCTAGAATATGATGTGCCGGAGAACAATGGTACAAATCCGGTTGATATTCTCGAAAAGAATAGACTATGATGTATTGTTAGTAGATTTTATAACATTATACATATATTTGCACGTATGGTATGGTAGGTATACGTACGTATGGTAGATGGGAATGAATTTTAATGAATAATTTAAAAGGCTTCATTAGCATATCTAAAAAAAGACAAAATTGGTATTTTAAAAATATCGAGTGAAAAATCCTTGGATAGAGCGTCTAGACGATTTTTTCAGTCTATACTTTGTAATTTAAGTTTAACATTGATTGTATGCTGAAGTGAAAAGAAATATAAATATCAAATCTGATTTTTTACATACAATTACTGTAATGTTTTTTTAGCAAAAAGAACTTTCTGGAAAGAATCGCTGAATTAAGGAATGGAATCACGACTATCCCAGTTATTTAGTTTTTCATAATATTTTTCACAGAAATAACAGGAATATTTGTAGAATAGATGAGAGTAATTGTAATTCTCTTATATTAATTAAGATACTTATAATAAGTGATATAATTTGTTATAGAGTTTTTTTAATAATGTTAGAATATAAGTGTACTTGCAAAAAATGTTACGACGAAGAATAATATCCTTTCAATAGTCAACATATTTTATGTTTCACTTGTTACTGTGATTACTATCACATATATTTGTGTCACTTCTAATACAAATGTAATATATATGTCGGCTTATATTTATGTGAAGTGGAAAATTTGATATAATGCGAATAATATTTGTGTTTCCAAGTCAAATCCAATATTCAATGGTTATAGCATAATGTACACTAATTAGTTAGTAAATTATATTTATAATTATATAAAAAGTTGTAATTAGACATATTACGTAACTTAAACATAGTAATTATAAAAAATAAATCTTAATACATAAAATTTTTCATGGAGTGGAAGATACGAGTAACTCGACTAGCGTTTGTTGCTTTTATAGGGTATATACATAGTTTCTTTGTCTAGGCTATGAAGTCACTTTACTTATATTATGAATTAGATTCAAATATTTATATGATTCAAATTTTTCATAAAAAACAATATATAATTACGTTTCGACATTTAAAGTAATTATTATCGATGAATAAGTTTTATAAGAAGATTTTAAAATCAACATATAGATGAAATATGGAACAATCTAAAAATATTTTAAATGCCTAATTGCATAATACTATTTCACCTTTATTATTTCTACTGAGAATAAAGAAAATAAAACTTTGAAACAAAAATAATATTCATCTCTGTGAAGAAAACAAGATATATTGAATATTAAAACAAGACACAAGTTTTAAATATACGGAGAACTGAATCGTAGGTACTTTAAAGTTTTTTCATATAAAATTCTAAAATCCAGATCATGCTCTCACGAAATATTTGCTTTCGTTTCGCTATCTCTTTGTAACGTTTATTTAACTTTTATTTTTCGCATTTTTTTCGGAAAATACATTTTTATTTTTATCGTTTGAATTGAAGCTGTTAAAGCTCACGTTAGATTTTATCTGTAAAATTGTAATAATTGTGATAATTCATTCGGATTTGTAGATGCGACTCTGGTTGTATATATGATGGAAGTACTCTTTTATTACGGACGTCTAAGAGTTCAATTTAAAATGATTACTTGTGTCCGGTATCTAAGGTCAGATGTCAGAATACTAGATTCGTTTTAAACTGCTAGGGTCAAGAGATTCTTGATATAAATAATTTGTCTTTGTGGTAGGGATGTTTACCGTGATGCCGGTGTAATTAATGGATTTCCAAAAACATTTTTAGAACGGCAAAAATAGAAGTGTAAGCTACAAGACAAAATGAGTAATTTTATCTTCATTTTAAAACATCTTAACGGTATTTACATTTGTTGGGAATGAGTTTAACTAATCTAAACCATATCAGTTAGGTATATTATGTTTTTAATTTTCATATTATGTAAATAAACGAAAATATCAAACAATTCTTAATAATTTTCTATAAGATTTCAGTTCTTGATAGTAAGTTCTTAAGTAATTCTTAGTTTTATTAAATAATAATTGAGAAATAAAGGAAGAACATAAGTAAATTTACGATAGTTTATTGTGTGTTACAAAATATAATATGAAACTACACGTAAGTGGCATTCATTTACAACACGGACTACTCTTAATAGGCAATCAGCTCGCAGTAATTGCCGTGGCCCGGACACAATTAGTTCCCTACATGTCGCGATGAAATCCTCCTACTGCACAATTAAAAGATATTGATTTTCTGATGTACTTCACACATGGATTACACAGTGTCCGTTATCATTTTACACGTTAAAAGTATTTATGGTTATTATTTTTTGATTTATTCCTCATATGATTCCTTTGAGATTAAAAAGTAATTTCAATCTGCAATTCACAAATATAAGCCAATTTTGTACCCGAAATTCTCACAACCAATGATGCTGTGAATGAAAGATTGCTCTTTTAAGTTGAAAAACATTCAATATTCCGTTCAAAATTTTGCTTGATTTCTGAAAATAAATCCCTTATAGGTTGCGCCTGCAGGAAGCTTGTTTGTCGAATATTTATTGAGCCGACGTACCTGTAGGTATTATAACAATATTGTGATTTAGTAGTTATGGCACTCACATATTATAATATAAAATCCACTGTGGATAAAAGATACGAGTTTCGATATTATGAAAGTAATTTAAAAATTTTATATTATTAAATTACTTTTATGAGAACTTTATGTGTACAGCAGTCATATTAATATGATTATTGAATCGAGACAAGAATACTTATAATACTTAAAATTCTATGTTTTTTTATTTATTGAAGTTTTATTTGAATCGTGACAACATGTAGCAGTAGACTACTTTAATTTATTTTAGAATTAATAAATATTAACAAAATACAAGCATTTCGAAAATAACTGATGATAAAATGTTATTTGTAACTAATTCATAATATGCATATCAACTAATTATGCTAATATTTATATACTCTAATACTCTTTTCGTGTTACCATAATTCAATTTAAATTATAATAATTTACTTATAAAATACAGAGAAGAAAACGTGACATTAAAATAAATCCTTTATAATGGAAAAATATCTTATAGACATTTCATTGTCTATTATTTCTTTATCCTATTCTTTATTGCTTTAGAATCACGGGATGTTTTCCGTTCCGTTCTTGGAATACAAAGACGAGGAACTTTATGTGGAATAATTATTTATGATTATATTAATATTAAATAATCATACATTCAGAAACTCTGTTTTTATCTAAAATGTATTTATTATTTTCTTTTATTAATTATTTTTGTGTAAGAATAAATTGAGTAATCGTTAAACGATTCAACGTCTTTTCTTTCATTAATTTTATTTTTTTGTCCATCATTTTCATTCTTTTTTTATTTCTTTGTTATATGTAGAAAGACTTTGCATTGTCTGTCTATTTTTTAATGAATATAATTTCAATACACTATAACATTAATTTCAAAATATTGTATTCAATAACATGACATAGATTCGGTTGCCGTAAATTCTGATTTTGGAGTTTCAATTTTCCTCATGTCACCAATTCTGTGACCATTTTGATAAAAGTTCAATATCCAGATCTGTGTCAGCTGCGACGTCAGAACTGTCATAGATTTTGACAGATATATGAATGTTCATGACGTATGCCAATAAAATTTATGAGTTTTGGTATTGAGAAATATATAGGTATCTATATATGTATATAAAACGATCATCCTAGACTATGTTATTAAAAAAATAAGAAGCATTGTTTAATTTTTTTTAATTCGACTATTAACTTTGTAAAAAAATTGTAGCCATAGTATTGTAGCTTAGATGTCAGAATAATACAAAGGCTATAATTTTCTCTGAAAAACAAAGTAGTTTCTGTAGGAACACGGCACAACAAGTTGTATCTTGTATAAAGCCATGTGACACAGGCTTTAGTCGTTGCCGGTTGGCTACCATTACATTGGTTTCCGTTTATTGCTTTTACACAATTTATATACTTCTCTCTGAACCCATTTCTGAAGTCCTTGAGTACTAAATCGTAGGAAAATGTAGTGATTTATATAAAACATACAGTTATAAGCAAGTTCTATTAAGATAAAGAGAAAAGTTAAGTTAATCTTGCCCTTAAGGCAAGATGTTTATACAAAGATTAAACATCGGAATTATACATCAAAAGTACTGAATAATATTTTGATTCACCTCTTCCAAATGATAATTTCTCAGTTAAGAAAAAATATTCACAAAATTCAACCTTCTAACGATATTGTGTATATAAAACATATCTATATAAGTATATAACTTCGTATCTCTATTAAAAAAGGTCCTCTGGGTGTTCATATGAAATTCTCTTTATTTGAGAGGTGGATGTTACGATATTGTGTTGATATAATATGATCGATGTCAAATTGATGTTATATTTTACGGACTGTAAACTAAACGCTGAAATGTCTTCTCCAGGTACCTAACAATTTATTGAATTGTAAACACATTAAACAAACATAAATATGTAAACTATAATAACTAATTTCTACTAGTATTTATTGTGTATCCATAAAATACTATATATGTATACCTATACTTTGAACCGTACGAAAAAACGACCAAAAACAAAGCAATTCATTAAAATTTATTATAAGTAAACACAGCCAACGATTTATTGATTACGTTTGAGTACTTCATTTGAAAGTTTTAATCTCGAGATTCCCAAAAGATTATTTGTAAAGTATCTAACAATGAAGGATTTTATTCAACTGTCGCTCTTTTGAGTCCCCGCTAATAAAGAAGTTTTAGATCCGTCCAAAGTTTTACAAACGATAGCAGTAAAAGAAGAGTTGATAATTGTAATTTGCGGAAGAGAAAATTACAAAGTCGTTTCTCAACTGCAATTTAATTTTATACCAACGTAGCTAGTACGATGACAAGAGAATGTATAATGGGTTTTTATTTCAAATGTGGTTCATTTCTTCATGTCTACGTTTGAATTATTTTAATTTTTTGTTTTTATTTTCTTGCTCTGAACTCGAGGTCGGTAGACATTAATGAACAACAACAGCTGCCTTAAAGTAGTCACTACAGATTAAATGTCAACAGTTGATATTGAAAAGTTTTACAAGAATTCGCTGATATAGAGACCTATTTTATTAGCTTAAAGGATTAAACTTCAAAAACTTAAATCAAGGCCTGATGCCTAAGGAGTCGTTAAACAGCTATTACTTTTGTAAGTCATTATAGACACAAACACATATATGTACCTATATACATATAATTGTTTGGACAATTACTGGAGGTAAATAAAAAAGAAAAGGATTTTGACATAGTTTGCATCGTCCAAATATCTTACTCTGATATCACATTAAATGGATACTCCAAATTTATACAATGCAAATTGTATACGTCAAAACAATAATCCTTATGACCCAATTTGTGACTGTCATAAACAAATCGCTACATTACAGACGCATAAGCCTGCAACAGATAAGAAACCTCTCCCACAACACATGGGAACAACATTAGGAATATCAAATATTTAAATTTACATCGCTTATTCTGTCAAATGTGTTTTTCATAAGTATAGCCATCACAAATCCAGAAAGTAGAACTAGAGTCTAGACGTCATTAAAGTAGAAATAGGATTACTAGTAGTAAGTATGTAGTAATTTACTACACAGATTTTTTTAAAATTCATAGAATATAAAATACATAGGCATGAATTAATACATGACGTCAACAACAATTAAATACGTGATTCTTCTAACTTTACGACAAAATTAAATAGTATGGGTAACTTATATAATATAATTTTAATTGTAGTATTTAGTAATTGTAGTTGCAAAATCCTTTCTTTCTTTTTTGAAGAGTTTGAAATCTATCGACTCGACTAGGTAATTGAAAAATATTAACTATAACATTTTTAAATCTCATAGTAATGCAGGTAAGAACTTTTAATGTTCTATGTGAAATGTATTAACCACGGTGAAATTAAACGTTGATATCGAGGGTCTGTTATTTGCATAACATTATCATAAATCCATGATAATTTAAACGCAGCTTTCAAGTCAAAAAGTCGAAGTCAAAAGGTCCTTTCCTTATTTATGGAGGTCAAAGAAAACACTTGAAATTCGTCAGGTACATAATTAAAATAAATTGAATCTACAATCGTGTCGAAATGTTGGTTCTATCGAGAAAATAACACCGGGAAACTTGGTTATCAGTTTTCATTTGAATATTATTTCTTTTCATATAACAATTGTTTAGTAGTTATTGTAAGTTGTTATTATATGTTTTGTGAAAATATCTTATTATTTTAATTATTATTATTCTTATTAAAATAATCCACATAAATGACGTCCACATAAAGTTTTATCGATTATACTTACCAAAGTAAAGATATTAGGTATACTCGTACCTATAATTTACAAGAAACATTTAAGTGAGTTACATAAAATAAAACAAATGTACATATAATAAACTAGAATATATAAGAAGTTGTTCAGTGCATGTCATATACAAAACTGTGGTAAATAGGCAGATGACGCTATAATTGTTGGTAAACCATCAGGTAAGCAATGAGAGTTCAAAGCATTCTCCTAACAACAAGACAAACTTTACTGAGTATAGGCAAAACTTTTTCGTTCAACAACTGTTGTTCCCATAATAAGACTTACGTCGTGATGAGTTTACTAACTATAAACAGCTTTGTAATTGCACGATAGTAATTATTGTGTGATGATACCAGGCTTTTGTTGTTGACCAATAGAAATAATAAATGGGTAATTTTGTTCGGGGAACTTCGGAAATGTTTACCAAAGTGAAACTTTCATTAAGTACTCAAAGTTTATCTTGATATTTCCACACTTAACTAAAAAAGGGTTTTAACCTAGATTCGTGACTCAGAGAGATTAACAAACAAAGGGTTAACAAAGCCTATATTAAAAGGTTTTTTGCTCATTGAAATACAGAACCGTAATAAAAACATCAAAGATTGTATAAAGCTTACCCGAAATTTAAAGGACGACATTGTCGTTTACTACTTTATGCTTATTGTGCATAAAATTTATTGAAAAATTATAAGTAAAATATAAAAATGAATAAATTATAAATTAAAACCCTTTGAAGTAATAAGCCATAAAAGACATTATGTCTGAATATAAAATTATCCATTCGACTACCGCTTATTTCAGATCAGAATCTTTATTTCTTTTTTATACACATTCATATTTTTATTTTATTTTTTTGTTTTTCAATTTTCAAAGATAGCTTTACTTTAACCTTTGCATATATTTTTTGAATTTGAAGAATATCTTCTGTGTTGCGATAGATTCAATTACATATTTTGAAAGTGAAATCTGCGTTATTTCCTGCAAAACCTGTAGTTTTATATTTTGAATTAAGTATTTACCGATTATAAGGATGTAATTTTTTCTTAATACATACGTACTACAATTGAAGACAATGTAAATATATATAATATTAATATTTCATTCATGTTGTTTTGTTAAAACTGTGTTTTAATTTGAAACACGCCGTTATACATAAAGCGGGATTCTCTATTCTCACTACGACAGTCATTCCTCATTTACAGCTCATTTAATGTACGCGTTTGGTCTCATGTTGGAGCAGTTATTTATTTCATAAACAAATATTGCTCTATAAAGCCCCGTTCTACTCATATAATGAAAGTTATCTGTGATGTTATCTTTTAGGTTTTTGTTTTATAAATTCTATATAAAGTTTTCGTTATGGTTAATCTATTTATAACTTTACAATCTTCAGGACTTTACACAATTATAATTTGAACTTCGAGACTATCAAAGAGAAACTTAAACTATGAGTGTCTTTGACAGCAAGGACGTAAAATTTTTGGTCGTTCATTGATAACGGATTTCGAATTGAGGTAGTTAAAATGTAACAATGTTTTTTGTAATAAAATTTTAAAAAGACTGATGCTAATTTAATCCTATTTACTTTAAAAACTCAAATCTTGTTTGCTAAAAAGACTTTAATGAAGTTATGTAATATTTAAAAGTTTTCTGTTTCAGATTTGCGGCGTCATGTTGTCGGCCTATCTCTGTAGAACTTGCTAATTAAGAAGTTTTGGTCTGAACTCTCGTTATATGTAAATTATGTTCCATCGAATTGATCTCGGAACTTTTCTTACTATTTTAATAAAATTGGAGACGAATTATTAAAGTTAGAAAGTAAAAATATTAAGTGTTGAATGCTACATATTTCAATTCCATTTGATTTATTTATTTTATTAAAAGACAAAGTTGGTCCCAAACATGTTCAACAAAAAATAAATTCCTTGATAACTATGAATACGTGATATAAATTTCCATTACGAAATATAATTATTGAATAATATATGTAGTAGGCATTATGTCGATTGTACTATTTTTATTGCAAATTAATTACTTCACTCTCTCGTAACATGAAACTTTATTGGCTTTTAGTCAATAAAGAAAAACGAGGAATAATGTTTTCCATTAATTAATTATTGAATGAGCACGCGATACCTATAAAATATTTCTATTAAACTTACACTTTCATATTGATGAGACTGTTTAAAGGCTTCTATGAAACCAATCAATATAAGTTTTACATAAGTTATAAAGAATAAGAAATTCAAAATTTATTTAAGGATTTCTTTTGTTCAAAACGAAAATGAAATCATATAGTTCTAATATAAACAGTTTAGTCATGATCATTCATCATCTTGTTTTCAAATTTTGTTATGAGTTGGGTAGAAATATATGCTATACAACTTTTTGCGGCTTTAGTTCAGTCTAGATTTATGTTTATTACACATATATATTATGTTTATATTTTATATGAAAACAAGTTCAATCCATCGTGAATATGGAATTTAAATTAAATTTTCACATTTGGCAAGAAAAAACAAATAACTAATTGTTTATGACAGCGAGATAAAGATTTTTAGGTTTAATAGTACTTAAGTTAAAAACTATGAAAGAGATTATTTGAGCAGTCTTGTTATCTTTATATATTTTAAGTCACATATTACATATAAGAGAAAATTATTAATTATCATTTGCTGTACAACATCTGATGTTACATGTCTTAGTTCTCCTTTACGGCTTGTAACTTGGCCTAATGACTTGTACTACAGACATTAGCTCTTAATAACGCAAGAAAACCCTCAAGAAAATTCTTTACTATCTTTATTTTTTCTGAATCTAAGAAAACTCGTATGACGCTGACGCTTATGATTCCTATATAATAAATAATATACGGAATTCCTTACATATGTTTTGAATAAATGGTTTCAGTTGAGACAAAAACGAAATAAATAAGACTTATTGAAAAAAATTGCGTAGGGTTATTCAATGAAACATTGCTAATTAATATCAAATGAAATATATGTATATACGTTTGCAAAAAAACTTTTGAAATGTGTTTTACACTTTATTGAATAAAGTAAAGAAATTAAAATTCACTTCAAATCTTTAAGAATAGAAAAAATAGGAATGTAAACACATCTTTTCACCAAAGTATATTATTATTTTTGTATGAAAGAATACCATTTTGTATCTCATTTCTATGTTGTAGTAATAATATTTATGTAGTGACAACGCATACATTAATTTGGAGCTTGACATTTGTAACATGCCACCCAACAATGACGTCTTGACATGGGTGATGTCATACAAATCTGTGGGATTCAAGATAGCACAACTTAACATTGTGGGAAGGCCAACGAAAGAATATAAATTTTGTAAATATGATTAATTCATTGTGAAAAGATTTCAAAGTCTCGAAAAAGGTTTAAAGTGTTTAAAAACTGAATGTTACTTAAAATACTTTTGACTTTTATATTTTTTTAATAGGATTCATAAAGCTTAAAGTCGTAACAAGAAAAAATACGATCTCTTGAGTTGACTTGACTAATTAAACAAACGTTTATCCCAATCTTTATTAAGTAAACATATAATTATAACTTTTTTAAGTACTGCCTTAAATTTATTATTTCAAAATATAAAATAAAGTTATTTATGGCTCACTGAATATAGTTAATTAAAGTCACATTACTATTAATATTAAGGTAAAGGTAATATATGACTTATTTTATGCTGTATATAAAACCACGGCCGCAGTTTTCATTTTCATCAAAAAAAAATTGTTAATACATATATATTTTATCTTTATAAGTCAGTGGTGGCCTAGTGGTTAAAGAGTCCGCCACTCGTTGCCGTGGGTGCAGGTTCAAACCTGGCAAGTACCAATGTGATTTTTCGGAGTCTTGATGTACTTTCTGAGAGTATTTAGACACCACTGACATACGGTGAAGGAAAACATCGTGAGGAAACCTGGACTTATAGTTTCACAATTATAAGTTTGAAATCACCAGCCCGTCTTGAGCAAGCATGGTGATTAATGCTCAAACCTTCTCCATGTGAGAAAGAGGCCTTTGCTCAGCAGAGGGCGCAGATAGGCTGATGACGATATATTTTATAATATTTGACATCAAATGGAAGGTTATGATTTGTATTTAAAATATAATGTTCAAATGTTCTCTTCCGAAAATAATTTTCTCCGGTACGATAATTATGTTTTTCAGTTAAGTTAGTCGTTTAACCTTTTAAAACATAACAAGAAACGCGCTCAAGTGAAATCGTTATTCGTTATTCCATTTTCGTGTTCGAACGGTTAAATGCTTCATGTATACTTTTGATATACCTTCATTGAAGTACGTGGTTTGGATTTTCAACAGACTGGTTTAAGGTTAACCTATCTCATGTTTCTGTTTTGTCAATTTAAATCATAAATTGAATAGAAGGGTAACAAAAACTTGAAATTTTGATATCTGCATAAACTTTAAGTGCCATTTAAAAAAAAATGACAAGGCGGAGTTTAGGCAATGAAAATATTTGGTAATTTTAGTAAAAACCTATAACAAGCTCAATTCGCTTAGTATACAGTAATACCATCAAATATTATTACTCGTATTACCTACAATTTTATTTCTCTCGTTGTTAGGTGGTCGTTAGCGTGGACTGCTATTGTGACATTACAGTTTTGTTTAACTTTGTAACAGCATGTAGGTTGTAAAATTTAAATCTATACTTATTTAAAGTAAAATTGGTAGGAAGAAAAACAAAGTACAAAAAAGTCCAGACAATTGTATAAGATTAGCTATAAATATATTTTTAAGTATTTAATACAAGTATTCCTAGAATTTAAAAACAGGAAATCATTGTAAAAGGATTGCGACGATCTTGTTATTCGAATCCCTAAAAGCTTTTTAAGTCATGTTTATCTTATGCCTACATTCAGATATAAGAAATAATATTCCATTCATAAATTACATTCTAACTTCCAATAACATGATCTTGATTGATTGCTTTGAACATTTGCGTAGGAATTTTTCGCATATACAATATCGTATGTTTTCTTTATCCCGAATAAATAGAATTATGTAATCTTTTGGAGACCTTATGTTGTCTCTGAATGTCATAAAACATTTGAAATTGTTCGTATTAAAATGATGCTAGTGTTTTATTTAAACATGTTTTTTTATAGCTCATACCAAAGACTAATTTTCATATGGCAATAATTTGTAGTGTAGTTGCATGACGGTAGCGATACTATCACAAATGATTGTGATATAAAATTAGAAGAATGGATTAATAATACACTTATTGGAAAAAATAATCAATAATGTCTATTGCTAGAGGCGTAGCTAACGAATACACGCAATCGTTATTGGAAAAATATTATCCAAAATGACGTTCTGATTTTTACCCGCAGGTATGGTAAATTTCCCTGAACAAAGTAAAAATATTAAGCACATATGAAAAACAAATAAAGGCATATTGCTAATATTATTAACGTTGATTGAGGCACTAAATTAGCCAGACTGGATGTTCGATGTTTTGTCATCAGTGTTGTCATATTTTTTATAAACCTATTTGATTTTATACTCTTTGTCTTCAGCATAGTCCGTAAGAAGGGCACCCGCCATATTTTGACACAGAACCAATAAATTTTGATAATCGTTCTAACATGGCTAAGATTAGCCGCAACTATCACTTAGTTTACCTACTTACTGTATAAAAATTGTTATGTTAATAAATAAAAAGTTGATTTTGAAATAAAATTTCGGACACCTTGTTCAATTATTTGCTAAACAAATATTGAGATTGGAAATATTGATTCCACGTTTAATTAATAAAAACACTGCTGATAAGTTTCTATGCTAACTTAAAAAAATATTTCAATATGTAGATACTGACTTATTGTTATACATATAAGAGAGACAGTTATGTTTCATTTACTGCTTATTTAATGTTCGCTCACGTCTTATGCTACGGCTATTACTCGAATCATAACGCTCTATAAACTGTGGCTCAATTTACGCAATAAAATATGAAATCTCTGTTATTGTCACAAGTTATATACTCACGTCGTATCATTACAAAGTGTCAATGTAATAATTTCAATTAATGTTTTGCACCAAGAAGTTAACATACCGTAGTTGTCGTAAATGTTAAAGCTTAGAAATCAAATCTCCAATACACATTGGAACAGTTTTGGGATATAGAAAACAGAAAATTTTCGCTGTATGTGGCCTGGATTTTGTATCTTCAATTTCCAACAGGATAAACACGAAATAGACACTAGAAATGGAAACCAAAATTCTGTTTTAAAACTGGACATAGCTTTTAACAGGCTTTTAAAATATTTTATTTCAACATCACGTTAATTCTTCGCTGAAAACAAAATTTGTTTTTAAAGTATTTATTGAAGTAATATACGTATTATAAAATGTAATAAAAAGTGTTGTACCTTAAAAAGTATAGCACTTTATTTATTTTTAATTCAAACGTTATGAGTTTGTCTTTTGCACATATATATTTCTATAGATGTATATACCTACAAATGCTTGTAAAAAAGGAAAAATTGCTTTGCCGTCGATAGATATAATACCTTTTGTAATGGGTATTATTTTATCCAATAATAAAACACAGTGTTGCCTCGAATTTTTCTGTTTATTTATTAAAGTAGGATTAAAATACAAAACATTAGACGGACACCGTTTTATAAGTAAATGCGCTGCAAAAATCTTATGTAAAGAAACCTATTTTTATCACTAACAACACTTTACAGTCTACAGGAAAGCTTTTATCGAAGTTGTACATTAGTTTTTAATGTGCCTCATAAAAATCTTTTCTCAATCCAATTTATAGCCTCTTAAAAGATTTATTTTAATAATCTACTCAATATACCTATAAGCAATAGTGCATTTTTAGCATATTTTCAGTAAGATTAGAGAATATCCATAAAAATATGTAATGTTTATTTAATATAATAACCAACTTTTGGCGGTAAACTATGCTATTATTAACCCGGCGAGGATGTGGAGGGGTCATTCTGACCCTGTCAAATTTTAATCGTGTGTAGTTTTTTATTCTGCGATTGAATAGTTTTGAACGTCACAATAGCTGTTGCTAAGGGACAGGCGCGCGCGCCCCGCGCCCCTGTTCAGTCGGCCGCCGCCTGCGACGGGAGCAACACGTGCGTGCAGTCAGAAAGGGTAAATATGACCCCGCGACAACCGCGATGTAACATTTTTATGTAAGGTTTCAATTATATTTTTTACTCAAAATTATTATTATTTTAGGTTTTTTCGTACACAATGAATAGCCAGGAGCTTGAGGATGAGCGTATACGTCTTGTTTTAATGCAGTCTGACAGTGAAGACGACTTGTTATCCGACGGTAGCGAAAAGGAAGATCATTTGAGTGCGCGCAGTCAAGATAGTGATACTGAGCAAAATGCAAGCAGTGATGGCGAGGAAAACGTACCACTATCTGAATTGCAACATCAGAACCCACGTATGTCAGAAGGAGAGGAATCGGATGGCCAGGTAACGAATTCATATTATATTGGAAAGATGGGACTAAATGGTCTAAAAATCCTCCTTACCAACAAGTCCGCACACGCTCTGAAAACATCATACGCCAAACACCTGGTGTAAGCCCAGCAGCGAGGTCGGCACAGTCTGAACTTGAATGTTGGAGTGTGTTTTGTCCCGATACTATGCTCTCTGTAATGCTGACTCACACAAACTCACAAATTCGAGAAAGAAATTCAGCTTCTGAAGCTATCCCTCACTATAGGAAAGAAATGGATATGAGTGAATTGAAGGCTTTCTTTGGACTATTATACATTGCTGGATTTTATCGCTCTGGTAGACAAAACACTATCGATCTTTGGGCTCCAGACGGTACAGGAGTCGAAATTTTCAGGTTGACAATGCCGCGGCAGCGATTTCATTTCATACAAAGCTGTCTGCGCTTTGATGATAAATCTACACGGGAAGAAAGAAAACTGTTCGACAACTTGGCCCCTATACGTCAAGCATTTGACATATTTGTCGAGAACTGCAGGAAGGTATATATACTGGATGCATACGTAACCATCGATGAGATGCTGCTTGCGTTTAGAGGCAGATGTCAATTTCGTCAGTACATTCCATCAAAGCCTGCCAAATACGGAATAAAAATATTAGCCTTGGTTGACGCAAAAAGTTTCTATATTTTCAACCTCGAGATTTATGCAGGAAAGCAGCCAGAAGGGCCATTTTTTGTGAGCAATAAACCTTTTGACGTGGTGAATCGTCTAGTATTTCAAATTTCGAAAACTGGCCGCAACGTCACTTTCGATAATTGGTTCACCAGCTACGAACTAATATCTCATCTGCTGAATGAGCACAAACTTACCTCTGTTGGTACGGTGCGCAAGAACAAGAGGCAACTTCCAACGTCATTTATCAATACTCGCGGTGCAGCTATATTTTCATCGAAATTTGGCTTTCAAAAGGATATAACGCTCGTGTCTCATATTCCAAAAAAAAACAAGGTTGTCATACTAATGTCTAGTCTCCACCACAACGCTGAAATTGATGAATCAACAGGAGAGAAAAAAAAACCTGAGATAAATACGTTTTATAACACCACTAAAGGTGGAGTAGACGTAGCAGATGAGTTGTCAGCAACATACGATGTTAGTCGCAACTCGAAAAAATGGCCTCTCACTGTCTTCTATGCAATGCTCAATATGGCTGGCATCAACGCGTATATTATACACAGGTCTAACACGTAGACTAATCAGAAGCGTCGCCATTTTATAAAAGCATTAGGCCGATTGCTTGTTACTGAACACTTGAAACGCCGCAAAGAAACAGTTCAATTGCCGAGATAGCTACGCAAGAGAATCAGAGAATTCATCGGAGAACCTGAACAAGAAGCACCTGTTAGGGTTCCAGGTGTACGAAAAAGGTGCCAAGTATGTCCTTATGCCCGCCATCGCAAGACAGCCAATGTTTGTGAAGATTGCCATAAGTATATTTGTCCAGAACACACTATTTCATTCTGCCGGGATTGTGCTACAATCACAGACAATAATGATTTGTAGTTCATAATTGATGATAAGACTGCAATTGCAACTAATTGATCTCTACGTATGTACCAAATTAAAAATTAATCGTCTAAGAAGTTACTTATTTTTTGTTGTTTCTAATGTAAGTTTAGAAAGTTTATGCAAAAGTTGATTATTTTGTAGTACTTTGCTAAAAGTGATTTAATTATAATATTTTGTATTCTAATCTGCGTTTAATTTCGATAAAACCGTAAAAATAACATGTAATATAAATAATATTGATTAATATTTGGTACATTAATATAAATTTAGGTATTTAAACCCAGTTATATACAGGGTCAATACTCAATAAGACCCTCCACAAGCTCCACGTTACTATTTTCACCACATAACTTTTTTGACAACACGTCATTTTGAAGTTGAATTTTTAGCAATCTATTACGATAAAGCCGTAAGTGCGAATGAAGCCATAACATAAAAAAAATCGGTAGATAAAGTCAAAAAATAACAATTTAATAATTATAATTTATGACAAAAATATTACAGATTTATGTGTCATAGTAAATAACTTACATTGGATGAGGAACAAGGTTACAACCGTTGGTGTTAAAATAATCCCACACAAATATTTACCTGCAACACATAATTTAAGATTGTTTAATCCAACCAACATAAGCACATATCAAATATATTATTATTCTAACATAATATACTTTATATAAATATGAGGTTAAGAATTCATAAAATATGACAATATTTGTTAGACCTTACATGGAAGGTTTAAAATGCATGGCAAATAATTTATCACCAAACAGAACAAATTTTATTAATAACAGTACAATAATAAGATTTATCTATTTAAAACAATTTGGTCAATAACTATGTCTCTACCAAACAATATATGAAACAGTAATATGTATGTATTTTGTTTAGTTTAATTTTAATTATGTGCATATCATATATATATATATATATATATATATATATATATATATATATATATATATATATATATTTCATATAAATTTATTATTCTAATGTCTATAATGTAATACTTCACAAATTTACTTTAAACTTTCAAAATATTTTTCCTATATGGGCTGACCCGGAGAACTTTCAATAGATCAGGGGGACTCTGTTCTGTATCATCATTTTCGACCCCATTCTGCTTTTGTAATATGGTTTCTTTTATTTCAGACAAAGGATCTTTTTTTAAAGATGAAAAGTTGTCATTACTGCTATGCATTGATAATTCCTCTTTAATTGACAATGGTTTTAGTTCACTATCATCTTTCATATTTTCTTGAAGTTGCATGAATGTTTCTACTGATTTCAACCAAGCTACTTTTTTGCGCTCAGCAGCAATACGTTGTGCTCTAATTTTAGCTCTTCTGGCTCGCCTTGTTTGTCTTGAAAGGTCAGATTTTCGCTTTCCCATTATGTTCTGTACCATGGAGAAAATAAAACATTTTGTCATTCAAATCAACATAACTAACTATACATAAAAATTATAATGTAATCTACATTTATATGAATTAAAATTCTTGTCAACATAAATGGAGTAACAGAGGTTTTAGAGAGATAATAGATTACTAGGAAATTGGTTTTTAAATAAAGAAATTACAATGCTGTAACACCAAAAGGATAGCTAGCAGTTCCAAAGGATTTATAAAAAAAAATTGTTAAAAGATGAAGATTATTTTTAGTAAGAGTTACTAGACAATGTGACTGGGATCTTACTTTACTCGGTTTTATTGTTCTTTCACTCAAGATTTTCTTCTACATTGACTTTTGAACAGTACCACATAAATTTATAGAGTACTCTTGCCTTTACGACTGGGCCACTTCTGTTTTATTTTATATTTAATAATTTGGATGTCTTTAAAACAATTTTTTACAAAAAATAAACTAAAACCTACAGTTCTTTTGGCCAAGCCTAAAAATCGATTCGTTAATTAAATTTATTCTCCCATATTGGTTTCTCATATTGAAATTATATTTCAAAACTTTAATGATTTATAAACATAGACATTAATTACGATAATTTACTTACATTATTCACTTTGTCGTCCTTTTTATTTGTTTATATTTTTCAGCTGTGACAGTTAAGACTTAAGTCATGAGTGTTGACAGTTAGAAAATGGGTATTGTACGAGGAACGCTTTTATAATAAATTAGTAAACCCGGCGAACTCCGTTTCGCCACCGGAAGGCTTTGTTTTATATAACATTTCGTTTGGTGACTAAAAGATAATTTTTTTTTTGTTTTATATTTGAAAATGAAAAATTTTTTTTCATTTCACAACAGTAATGAATTCATTTCGATTACAAAAATGAAGTGTTATTTAGTTGAACTTCTCTAAGTAAATGAAAGTGAATCCAAAGTAGATACCGAATCGAAGCGTTATACGTGTCCGCAAGTTATCCGTTTCATTGAAGTGCTCCTTTGTAAACCACATTTTTGATTTTTTGGTCTAATGTTAACTCAAATAAAGAGGATGGTTTCTCAACTCTTGAACACGCAAAGTATAATTGGCCATATGAAAAAATAATATTTTCTAAATATATCCAGTAAATACTAAATGGTTTTAAGAGTTTAAACTACAAACACAATACCGGTTTGTCACATGAAATTAACTGAGCAGAGAACAATGAGTAGCTGTCAGACAATGTATCATGCACCGGCACCATCTACTTAAATATTGATTTGTAATACATGTTATGTATGATGGCGCTGTATGTGAAAAAAGATTTTCTCGCTTTTCTGTTGAAATTTTTTGTTATAAACCTCGCGGAGCCCGAGACCTTTCCAACGAATGCAAAACCGTGGAAATTGGTTCGTTCGTTCTGAAGTTTTAGCGTCAGGATGGAAAACCGGATTATTTTTATATAGTAGATTTCTTACCAATATCAATTTGTCATCCATTCGTCATTACATATCTGTCATTATACGTCAATTGCATAGCTGTCAATTGTTTCGTTATTCCACGTTTTATAGTGACTGACGTTTCATGTCAAGTCACACGGGAATGCTGTCTAGCGGGATAAAAAGTATCCTATGTCATTTTCCTGGCTCTAAGCTACCTTCCTGCCAATTTTCAGCTAAATCGGTTTAGCCGTTCTTGAGTTATAAGTGGAGAAACTAACACGAATTTCTTATATATATATATATATGTATATATATATTAACGAGATGTCAATCATAGCACCCATCCTTTCGGCCGGCCCCTTGCCGGCCGGCTCAATACGTCATACATCGGGTGCTCTCGGTAATCTTCGGCCGCTTCGTGCGGCGCGCGAGAACCGACTCGTTACTCGGTACATTTCTATGAACTATGTTTTGTCTCACGCGTCAGGCGTATTGATGCGTGTCTCATACAAGATGTATTAGCAGTCCTCGTGCACTCGCCGGAGCGCACGATATGAGTTTAGTAAAGCGTTCAAACTTTTTGACCATAATTGGAAATTAAATTTTTTATACCTTTTTGTATGTTTAAAAAATAAATATTAAAATGGTAATTTAAAAATTAAGATGACATAATATTTTGTAATTTTTAAATATTTTGAATTGGTGGTTCAGCGCACGGGCGCACTTAAGGTACAGCCGCCACTGCATTACTGGAAATAGCTTTACATAGCTAGTACGGTAGTATGGTTTCAGTTTTAAAGTATTGGGTAGCCTTAACTTTTCCGGGGTCTAGCTATTTCTAAAATAATTTCAAGAATATTAAGGGTATTAAGATATAAAAAGAAAATGTATATTCTTAATAAATACGATTATATAGAAAAATATCAAGACTACATATAGTTTTTAAGGAATAAAGAGTTCTGTATAAAATTTTAGTAATTTTAGTTATTTTATACCATTTAAAGTTAAAATTAGTAAAGTTATTATTTTCAATATATTATGTAAGCGGTTACGACAATTTTAAAATCAAGATTAAATTTTAAGGTTGGTTAAAGAAATTTTGGTCCCACCAATTAAGATGGGAATAGGGAATGTAAGTCTTAGTGACACCTTTAGTCGTTAAGGGCAATGATTTTGAATTTCACCTTACAGATGATTCGAGGGGACGCGAAGAGTGGCAATTTCCTGAGCGGAAGTGTTGCCATGGTGGAGTAATTCGCAGCCGCTCAGTTTTAAGGACTTCTTCAGATTTAAAGTTAAATGCTTCTTCCAATAAATATTACGTATCCGGTGATAATCACCGCTTTGTTACTTTTGTAGAGAATACCGATATGTTTTTGAAAGTATAAAATATATTTTATTTTACGCTATAGCGAAAGAATAAACATCTATGAAGTTTTTCAACAGACTGTCGGAAGCCCAACGGAGTTAAAGGGAGCGGGTTTAGTTCTTTTTTCTAAGGCAAAGTTTCCTATCTGATCTCATACTCTGACGTTTATTAATATTTCGTACGAGCGGATTTCAATATAAAACTACTTTTTATATTTAAGCGTTTCTTGTTAAATCACAATATAATACATACCTAATATAAAATAATTAAATGAAATTATATAAAATAATTAAATAAATACCTAATATAAAATAATTAAATAAAAAAGGGCTATCCGGAAAGCCATAACCATAGATATTTAAGAAATTTAATTGTTTAGGGTTAATCAATAATTTCCTAAAAAAATAAATAAAACTAGTTCGTTTTCTTGAAGTATCATAATTCGGGGTAACATTTTCTTCCGTTTACGTACCTAATGCGCTCTGCAATTTGCCTCTTAAGTTAAACTTGCTTTTATGTAGCGTTATAGACCTAATTGCAGTTTAAAATTTAAATACAGCTCACTTTAAAAGACTAGAAATTTAAAAAAGACTAGATTGTAATATTTTATAAGAATTCGTTATAGGGACATAATAACTCTTTGAAGTCGTAATTATATTAGTAAGTACCTATTACCAAATTTCTTTTGAATGTCAGCTATGTATACCACATTTAAATACAGTATTTTTATGAAAAGTAACTCTATTAACTTTTATACAAAATTATATTATTGTATGATATGGCTGTATCATATTTTCGAGTATTTTAATGGAAAAAATATATAAATATTGAACATAATATGTGTGTACTCATAATCATCCTCTAGTCTTTCAATCATAACCCTCGTTGCTAATGGATGTGTAATTACATTACCTTTCCTTCAGGTACATTAGTTGTTTCTTATAATCAAGTTAATAAGAATATAAAAAGAGAATTATTAGTTAATTAATACTTTAGCCTTATAGAATACTTGCTGGGTTGGTATTAATATTATAAGAAGAAAATTTGTTTATTTATTTTTAATTCAAACGTTATGAGTTTGTCTTTTGCACATATATATCTATAGATGTATATACCTACAAATGCTTGTAAAAAAGGAAAAATTGCTTTGCCGTCGATAGATATAATACCTTTTGTAATGGGTATTATTTTATCCAATAATAAAACACAGTGTTGCCTCGAATTTTTCTGTTTATTTATTAAAGTAGGATTAAAATACAAAACATTAGACGGACACCGTTTTATAAGTAAATGCGCTGCAAAAATCTTATGTAAAGAAACCTATTTTTATCACTAACAACACTTTACAGTCTACAGGAAAGCTTTTATCGAAGTTGTACATTAGTTTTTAATGTGCCTCATAAAAATCTTTTCTCAATCCAATTTATAGCCTCTTAAAAGATTTATTTTAATAATCTACTCAATATACCTATAAGCAATAGTGCATTTTTAGCATATTTTCAGTAAGATTAGAGAATATCCATAAAAATATGTAATGTTTATTTAATATAATAACCAACTTTTGGCGGTAAACTATGCTATTATTAACCCGGCGAGGATGTGGAGGGGTCATTCTGACCCTGTCAAATTTTAATCGTGTGTAGTTTTTTATTCTGCGATTGAATAGTTTTGAACGTCACAATAGCTGTTGCTAAGGGACAGGCGCGCGCGCCCCGCGCCCCTGTTCAGTCGGCCGCCGCCTGCGACGGGAGCAACACGTGCGTGCAGTCAGAAAGGGTAAATATGACCCCGCGACAACCGCGATGTAACATTTTTATGTAAGGTTTCAATTATATTTTTTACTCAAAATTATTATTATTTTAGGTTTTTTCGTACACAATGAATAGCCAGGAGCTTGAGGATGAGCGTATACGTCTTGTTTTAATGCAGTCTGACAGTGAAGACGACTTGTTATCCGACGGTAGCGAAAAGGAAGATCATTTGAGTGCGCGCAGTCAAGATAGTGATACTGAGCAAAATGCAAGCAGTGATGGCGAGGAAAACGTACCACTATCTGAATTGCAACATCAGAACCCACGTATGTCAGAAGGAGAGGAATCGGATGGCCAGGTAATGAATTCATATTATATTGGAAAGATGGGACTAAATGGTCTAAAAATCCTCCTTACCAACAAGTCCGCACACGCTCTGAAAACATCATACGCCAAACACCTGGTGTAAGCCCAGCAGCGAGGTCGGCACAGTCTGAACTTGAATGTTGGAGTGTGTTTTGTCCCGATACTATGCTCTCTGTAATGCTGACTCACACAAACTCACAAATTCGAGAAAGAAATTCAGCTTCTGAAGCTATCCCTCACTATAGGAAAGAAATGGATATGAGTGAATTGAAGGCTTTCTTTGGACTATTATACATTGCTGGATTTTATCGCTCTGGTAGACAAAACACTATCGATCTTTGGGTTCCAGACGGTACAGAAGTCGAAATTTTCAGGTTGACAAAGCCGCGGCAGCGATTTCATTTCATACAAAGCTGTCTGCGCTTTGATGATAAATCTACACGGGAAGAAAGAAAACTGTTCGACAACTTGGCCCCTATACGTCAAGTATTTGACATATTTGTCGAGAACTGCAGGAAGGTATATATACTGGATGCATACGTAACCATCGATGAGATGCTGCTTGCGTTTAGAGGCAGATGTCAATTTCGTCAGTACATTCCATCAAAGCCTGCCAAATACGGAATAAAAATATTAGCCTTGGCCGACGCAAAAAGTTTATATATTTTCAACCTCGAGATTTATGCAGGAAAGCAGCCAGAAGGGCCATTTTTTGTGAGCAATAAACCTTTTGACGTGGTGAATCGTCTAGTATTTCCCATTTCGAAAACTGGCCGCAACGTCACTTTCGATAATTGGTTCACCAGCTACGAACTAATATCTCATCTGCTGAATGAGCACAAACTTACCTCTGTTGGTACGGTGCGCAAGAACAAGAGGCAACTTCCAACGTCATTTATCAATACTCGCGGTGCAGCTATATTTTCATCGAAATTTGGCTTTCAAAAGGATATAACGCTCGTGTCTCATATTCCAAAAAAAACAAGGTTGTCATACTAATGTCTAGTCTCCACCACAACGCTGAAATTGATGAATCAACAGGAGAGAAAAAAAAAACCTGAGATAAATACGTTTTATAACACCACTAAAGGTGGAGTAGACGTAGCAGATGAGTTGTCAGCGACATACGATGTTAGTCGCAACTCGAAAAAATGGCCTCTCACTGTCTTCTATGCAATGCTCAATATGGCTGGCATCAACGCGTATATTATACACAGGTCTAACACGTCGACTAATCAGAAGCGTCGCCATTTTATAAAAGCATTAGGCCGATTGCTTGTTACTGAACACTTGAAACGCCGCAAAGAAACAGTTCAATTGCCGAGATAGCTACGCAAGAGAATCAGAGAATTCATCGGAGAACCTGAACAAGAAGCACCTGTTAGGGTTCCAGGTGTACGAAAAAGGTGCCAAGTATGTCCTTATGCCCGCCATCGCAAGACAGCCAATGTTTGTGAAGATTGCCATAAGTATATTTGTCCAGAACACACTATTTCATTCTGCCGGGATTGTGCTACAATCACAGACAATAATGATTTGTAGTTCATAATTGATGATAAGACTGCAATTGCAACTAATTGATCTCTACGTATGTACCAAATTAAAAATTAATCGTCTAAGAAGTTACTTATTTTTTGTTGTTTCTAATGTAAGTTTAGAAAGTTTATGCAAAAGTTGATTATTTTGTAGTACTTTGCTAAAAGTGATTTAATTATAATATTTTGTATTCTAATCTGCGTTTAATTTCGATAAAACCGTAAAAATAACATGTAATATGAATAATATTGATTAATATTTGGTACATTAATATAAATTTAGGTATTTAAACCCAGTTATATACAGGGTCAATACTCAATAAGACCCTCCACAAGCTCCACGTTACTATTTTCACCACATAACTTTTTTGACAACACGTCATTTTGAAGTTGAATTTTTAGCAATCTATTACGATAAAGCCGTAAGTGCGAATGAAGCCATAACATAAAAAAAATCGGTAGATAAAGTCAAAAAATAACAATTTAATAATTATAATTTATGACAAAAATATTACAGATTTATGTGTCATAGTAAATAACTTACATTGGATGAGGAACAAGGTTACAACCGTTGGTGTTAAAATAATCCCACACAAATATTTACCTGCAACACATAATTTAAGATTGTTTAATCCAACCAACATAAGCACATATCAAATATATTATTATTCTAACATAATATACTTTATATGAATATGAGGTTAAGAATTCATAAAATATGACAATATTTGTTAGACCTTACATGGAAGGTTTAAAATGCATGGCAAATAATTTATCACCAAACAGAACAAATTTTATTAATAACAGTACAATAATAAGATTTATCTATTTAAAACAATTTGGTCAATAACTATGTCTCTACCAAACAATATATGAAACAGTAATATGTATGTATTTTGTTTAGTTTAATTTTAATTATGTGCATATCATATATACAGGGTGACTGGTGAATTACTATCGATATTTGAGGACGTGATATTTGACGATCATATATGACAAAATAAAAATTAATATAACATAAATATTAATAATCTTCTAAGTAAAGTTAACCAAAAGTTATGTAATTAATTACGCATCGTGTGAACACCCTACAGATTAGGTATACACTGACACTCACACATACGCGTGTCGTGACGTGGTGTTGTATCAACACGTCGCCGCACGCGTCCACACTTGAACACTTGGAACGTGTCAACACTTTACTTATTTATACGGAAATTTTGTCAAAAATTAAGTACCTATTTTTTTTACATAATTCGAATGAGAATCATGTACTGAGTATGCTCCTTAAATATTGATAGTAATTCACCAGTCACCCTGTATATATATATATATTTCATATAAATTTATGATTCTAGTGTCTATAATGTAATACTTCACAAATTTACTTTAAACTTTCAAAATATTTTTCCTATATGGGCTGACCCGGAGAACTTTCAATAGATCAGAGGGACTCTGTTCTGTATCATCATTTTCGACCCAATTCTGCTTTTGTAATATGGTTTCTTTTATTTCAGACAAAGGATCTACTTCTAAAGATGAAAAGTTGTCATTACTGCTATACATTGATAATTCCTCTTTAATTGAAAATGGTTTTAGTTCACTATCATCTTTCATATTTTCTTGAACTTCTATGAATGTTTGTGATTTCAACAAAGCCACTCTTTTGCGGATAGCAGCCATACGTTGTCTGTGAATTTGTAACCTATGTATTCTCTGTTCTTCTGTTTCTAGTGACCGGACTTTTTTAGCTCTTCTGGCGTCTCTTGATTTTCTCGAAAGGTCGGATTTTCGCTTTCCCATTATGTTCTGTACCATGGAGAAAATGAAACATTTTGTCATTGAAAACAACATAACTAACTATACATAAAAATTATAATGTAATCTACATTTATATGTATTAAAATTCTTGTCAACATAAATGGAGTAACAGAGGTTTTAGAGAGATAATAGATTACAAGGAAATTGGTTTTTAAATAAAGAAATTACAATGCTGTAACACCAAAAGGATAGCTAGCAGTTCCAAAGGATTTATAAAAAAAAAAATTGTTAAAAGATGAAGATTATTTTTAGTAAGAGTTACTAGACAATGTGACTGGGATCTTACTTTACTCGGTTTTATTGTTCTTTCACTCAAGATTTTCTTCTACATTGACTTTTGAACAGAATCACAAAAATTAATAGAGTACTCTTACATTTACGAATGGGCCACTTCTGTTTTATTTTATATTTAATAATTTGGATGTCTTTAAAACAATTTTTTACAAAAAATAAACTAAAACCTACAGTTCTTTTGGCCAAGCCTAAAAATCGACTCGTTAATTAAATTTCTTCTCCCATATTGGTTTCCTAATATTGAAATTATATTTTAAAACTTTAATGATTTATAAATATAGACATTAATTACGATAATTTACTTACATTATTCACTTTGTCGTCCTTTTTATTTGTTTATATTTATCAGCTCTGACAGTTAAGACTTAAGTCATGAGTGTTGACAGTTAGAAAATGGGTATTGTACGAGGAACGCTTTTATAATAAATTAGTAAACCCGGCGAACTCCGTTTCGCCACCGGAAGGCTTTGTTTTATATAACATTTCGTTTGGTGACTAAAAGATGATTTTTTTTTTGTTTTATATTTGAAAATGAAAAATTTTTTTTCATTTCACAACAGTAATGAATTCATTTCGATTACAAAAATGAAGTGTTATTTAGTTGAACTTCTCTAAGTAAATGAAAGTGAATCCAAAGTAGATACCGAATCGAAGCGTTATACGTGTCCGCAAGTTATCCGTTTCATTGAAGTGCTCCTTTGTAAACCACATTTTTGATTTTTTGGTCTAATGTTAACTCAAATAAAGAGGATGGTTTCTCAACTCTTGAACACGCAAAGTATAATTGGCCATATGAAAAAATAATATTTTCTAAATATATCCAGTAAATACTAAATGGTTTTAAGAGTTTAAACTACAAACACAATACCGGTTTGTCACATGAAATTAACTGAGCAGAGAACAATGAGTAGCTGTCAGACAATGTATCATGCACCGGCACCATCTACTTAAATATTGATTTGTAATACATGTTATGTATGATGGCGCTGTATGTGAAAAAAGATTTTCTCGCTTTTCTGTTGAAATTTTTTGTTATAAACCTCACGGAGCAAGAGACCTTTCCAACGAATGCAAAACCGTGGAAATTGGTTCGTTTGTTCTGAAGTTTTAGCGTCAGGATGAAAACCGGATTATTTTTATATAGTAGATTTCTTACAAATATCAATTTGTCATCCATTCGTCATTACATATCTGTCATTATACGTCAATTGCATAGCTGTCAATTGTTTCGTTATTCCACGTTTTATAGTGACTGACGTTTCATGTCAAGTCACACGGGAATACTGTCTAGCGGGATAAAAAGTATCCTATGTCATTTTCCTGGCTCTAAGCTACCTTCCTGCCAATTTTCAGCTAAATCGGTTTAGCCGTTCTTGAGTTATAAGTGGAGAAACTAACACGAATTTCTTTTGTATAGCATTATGGATAAAAATAAACGAAATGGTAAATTCAGCAGTTTATTTTCGGGTTTATAATTTTTCAGTTACTTTTTTTTCAACAATCAATGTTTCAAAAAAGAAAATTTAAAATAATTGGGAGAAATTGCAAATATTGAAAATGAGAAATAATCAAACATCTTAATTGTGATTGTTTGTGTCAAATTTATATGAAATCTCTTCAAGTTAGGTCAAGGTTTACGTAGAAAGTTTTATTGCATTAATCTTTAGTAGATGCCCTTATTTAAGATTTAATAGTATCAAAGGAACCTCAACATTTCTAATTCTTCTGTGCCATGCCATTGTAGAATGTGATACTTTTCTATTGTTATAAATTTGTACACGAACCTTTTTTTTATTCTTGTTAATAATGCAAAATAGTTTGATTTAAGTATTAATTTTTTATATTTGTTTTAAGCGTGGATTTTAATCATGGTACAATATAATTCTTACCTTAATAGTTTCTTCTGAATTCTGTTTAACATGTTTTGAATGTAGTATTAATATTTCCTGAAAACATATAATATTACTGTAGTCCTTTTGTTAATATCAGTTTTGTCCTACAGCATGTGCATGTGATGGGGAAAGCGTGATTGACAAGAAGCGCATAAGGTAATAGAATTAGTTATTATTTTTCGTAATAGGTAAAGTAATATATTTTTTTATATTTTTCATTTATTCGTGTTAAATAAAAACAAATTTTAATTTAAAAGTACTACAGATCGCCGAATGCTATATGGAAACCATATTTTACTAATTATTATTAATTGAATCATAGAAATGCTTGCGGCCCACTGCTGTTTTGTAATTGAAGTTTATAAAAAATATAATTTCAAAGACACGATTAAAGGGAAAGATTTATTTTATTACTTCCATCAATCCATGAAACCAATGCAATTATCCTGAGGAAAATTAGTAACAGATTGACGCAGAAACATGAGTTGATATAATGAGGGAATAATGGTCGAATTTACTTTTCTTACTAGAACTAAAACTTACTTAAAGTAAACTAGAAGAAAAGTGACGCGGTTTTTTTCTGTTTTCATTCTATTATTCTTCAAGAAACGGGATGTTTAAAGTCTTGATTTGATTCGCATTAGCTGACGGACTTAACTGGCTTGGAAACGCAGTTAGTTACCTATGGTTGTTGATACTAGATATATAAAGGAGGAATGAACGTCATTTAGTCATACAGTTGAATGACCCTTAAGTGTGGGCAAAATTTCAAAGGACGGTGGTAGGAAATCTGTTCGGATCTGGGAAAAGTTCATTACTGGAAATAGCTTTACTTATCTAGTACGGTAGTATGGTTACAGTTTTAAAGTATTGGGTAGCCTTAACTTTTCCGGGGTCTAGCTATTTCTAAAATAATTTGAAGAATATTAAGGGTATTAAGATATAAAAAGAAAATGTATATTCTTAATAAATACGATTATATAGAAAAATATCAAGACTACATATAGTTTTTAAGGAATAAAGAGTTCTGTATAAAATTTTAATAATTTTAGTTATTTTATACCATTTAAAGTTAAAATTAGTAAAGCTATTATTTTCAATATATTATGTAAGTGGTTACGACAATTTTAAAATCAAGATTAAATTTTAAGGTTGGTTAAAGAAATTTTGGTCCCACCAATTAAGATGGGAATAGGGAATGTAAGTCTTAGTGACACCTTTAGTCGTTAAGGGCAATGATTTTGAATTTCACCTTACAGATGATTCGAGGGGACGCGAAGAGTGGCAATTTCCTGAGCGGAAGTGTTGCCATGGTAGAGTAATTCGCAGCCGCCCAGTTTTAAGGACTTCTTCAGATTTAAAGTTAAATGCTTCTTCTAATAAATATTACGTATCCGGTGATAATCACCGCTTTGTTACTTTTGTAGAGAATACCGATATTTTTTTGAAAGTATAAAATATATTTTATTTTACGCTATAGCGAAAGAATAAACATCTATGAAGTTTTTCAACACACTGTCGGAAGCCCAACGGAGTTAAAGGGAGCGGGTTTAGTTCTTTTTTCTAAGGCAAAGTTTCCTATCTGATCTCATAATCTGACGTTTATTAATATTTCGTACGAGAGGATTTCAATATAAAACTACTTTTTATATTTAAGCGTTTCTTGTTAAATCACAATATAATACATACCTAATATAAAATAATTAAATAAAATTATACAAAAAGGGCTATCCGGAAAGCCATAACCATAGATGTTTAAGAAATTTAATTGTTTAGGGTTAATCAATCATTTCCTAAAAAAAATAAATAAAACCAGTTCGTTTTCTTGAAGTATCATAATTCGGGATAACATTTTCTTCCGTTTACGTACCTAATGCGCTCTGCAATTTGCCTCTTAAGTTAAACTTGCTTTTATGTAGCGTTATAGACCTAATTGCAGTTTAAAATTTAAATATAGCTCACTTTAAAAGACTAGAAATTTAGAAAGACTAGATTGTAATATTTTATAAGAATTCGTTATAGGGACATAATAACTCTTTGAAGTCGTAATTATAACACTTATGAAAATTCAAATCTGTTAAATCTGTTCATTACTAAGTCCGCATGAAATAGGTTTGTAGCTAATACCAAGTGAGATATGCGTTGGCAGGGTATTACATTCTGCATTGTATTACAAAGAGCTTGATTAGTTAGGTTCAGTAAGTTTGAATACCAAGCACATAGCACTTGGTACACGTCAAAGAGCTTATAGTTTCTAAGCTCAATAGAGCAAATATCTGCGGGGATAACGCGATGGAAACTTTTTAAAGACACTAAATAAATTTTGTTGAACATTTCAAGAAGAAACCGAGAAGAGGTAAAATGTTTACTTTATACATATTATATTTTAACTTTCGAAAAATATTTGTAATATTTTATATTCAGATTTAGAAAAACAAAGAAATCCCTCATAAATAACATTTTTCTTCCAATAACTCGATCTTGTTTGATTTGCTTATCCTTTCTATACTTACTTCGCATATTAAAAATTATTCTTTGTTTTTTGTTTCGAACATTAGCTAAGAATTGGAACGTTATTGACTAAACATACACGCTGTTTTGTCTTTGGTTCCATTTTGTAAGGAAAATAAATTACAATAATGTCAATTATAATAAGTTTACGTTTAAAATGAAGAATTAACTAATTACAAGACACAGACATAATGTCCTGATATAACTCTGAAACATATTTAGAAAGTTACATGTACTGACTCTAATAAAGGGATGGATATATTACACGCACTGGCACACTCCGTA